CATGCCTTTTTTGACCTTCTATCATGTGAAACTTACACAAAACACAGCATTGGAGCACAGCTTCAAGAGCATTATTTTGCCCTTCAATCGTTGTCGCCTGCACTACGTAACCTTTAGTTGTTTAATATATAACAATAGTTATTAGAGAATAGTTTTAAAAACATACCAGCCATTCTTGTGGACATATAATCAGGATGCTTCTCTGAGTGAAAGGATTGCAGCAGATCCCATTAGCTTTACTGTTCCCTAATGTAACTTCTTTCAACTCTTGCTCATAAGTGGGATCACAGTACTGTACATAATAGGGAGATTGTAAACATTTTCAGTACATAATTTCTATGATGCAGCTGTTTACTGTGCTTTAGAAAAGCAGAAACAATTACTAGTAAAAGTGTTCTTATTAATGAATCATGCCGTTATCTTTAAGTATATGTACAAAGTGTCACATGGTTGACAGTTCCTATAAAACATGACACCTTGTAGTTGTGCAAAGGATGGTGGAGAAATCTACCAAAGAAGGCGGTTGTTGTTGCTTTGCTTAAATTGCTTGTTTTGTCATCCTCATTGTATTTTCTTATAATAAGCTCTCTATTATTGACATAAACATTAGTTCATCTTGTAATACAGACTTGTATGCACTGTAAGCATTCTATAGTTAGACAAATACCATAAAGACAAAATACCAATGGTACACTGTACAATGTAGTACACAGATTTATTTAGACAATCACAATCTGCCATACCTTAGACTCAACAGATGGTTTCAGCATCCAGATGTTAAGCATACCAGACAGGGAGACAGCAACTACAACATCCTCTGTGGCCCACCGAAATTAGGGGCAAAAGTGAACTCTTTAGTCAACAGAAAAGTTAAAAGGTTGCTACACAGATATATATACACTCATTTTTTACAGACTAACAATAACAGTATATGTATAATGTATGATAAAAATAAAGGTTCATGTGCACTATATCTACCAAATGTAAACGTAGATAAAATCCTTTTCCAGGTTAAATCAGTATTCAACTGATTTAAGGGATACCTTTTTGCTGGGGTTCTTACCCAGCCTGGTAACTTAGGTTGAATGCTGGTTTAACTTCAGGAAGGATTTTACCCACAAAATAGCCGCTCACACGAAGTTATCAATAATATTACTGCAACCCTATCTAAACCAAAGAATTTTAATTAATACAGGTAGGAAAATAAAAATGATCACACACAGATTGTAACAAACAAAATTAAAAAACAGTGAATATTTAAAATGAAATTTATCACCTTGTCTTCTGGCAGGTCTAACCACACAAGCTGCACTGATCCAGTTTGTAGCTGATGGAGAACGCAATGTGTACAACACCTGACAAGTCAAAAAGTTCACACAACAATAAACATTGCATTGTACAAAAGTTCTGATACTGAGTAAGATGGTGAAGGAACTAAACCAAACTATTAAAAATGCACTTCAAAACCTTATTAATAATTCATAAAGAGAAAACAAAAGATTGTTTAATGAGTGTCTTTATATACACAGCTAAACTTTAAGTCCAATATTTTACACCAAAATAACCCAAAATATAAATATTACTGCAAGAATGAGGTGAAGGAACTATATCGGAGATTTTGAAGCCATTCAAAAAGCACGCAGTCGTGTATCATCAGGTTTGAAATTCTCAGCTTTGCCTTGAGTTTTTGAACCTGATAATACACTCATGCTTGTTTTATAAACGGTACATAGCACATCCAAAAATCATTTGAATTCTCCTAGCCTTGAAAGTAAAAATTAAGCTTAATCATTGAGTTATGTGAAAAACCTCAAAAAAATATTCTTTTGCTATACATGTATCTACCTCAAGTGACAAGGCATCAACAACATAAATATCAGAATAGCTGCCATAACAAACTACACGCCACTCCTTCCCTGTGCCAATGGTGACATGAAAAGACTGCAAGGAAGGAAAATTTAGCATAAACGTTTAATATTACATGCTTACGATCAAGAAAGACCAAATACTATGCTTGTCATACTTTAACGTCAATCCTGCATTCACAAAACCAGCCCACCCCAAAAACAAGAGGTCTAGCCTACAGTCAGCAAATGCAGTTCAGTTCAGTTCCAAAATAGCCCGTGTGGCTAACAGTTACCTAGGGGGTCTATTAAGAAATGCAAAAGTCTAACCCCCCAAGAGTCCCAGGCCCCTTTCAGTGCACAATGAAATAAAATGGCGGATAAATCGTAAGTCACTTGCATCAGTGTTGTTTCTCTTCATTTCTAACTTGTAAGTTGCTTTCATGAAAAGTGATCTGTTTTGCACTTGCAAAAACCTGGCTGTATACTTTATGTTTCGCTTTTAAGTTATTTCCCGAGGATTTACTTGTCCAAAGGACAAGTAAGAAACCACCTGTCTTGGGCAAGTGGACACCATTTTTGTTGCACCCCGATAATATATACAAAACTCAATCTGTGTAATGTTTAACATAAACAAAGACTTCAAATTTAAGTAATGCATAGGAGTACCACTGTAAAATACCCTCTTTTAAAAATTAATTACAGTACTTTCACTTGCCCAGGAGCACCTCTCCAATGAAAAAAGAAATAACCCTGCCAATGACTCCTCACTTCTTCAAGCATGCAGATAGTAAAAAAGAGCGATTTATTTTCCTGTTTGATCAGCTTTCACTTATTACTGTGCACAGGTGTCTTCCCTTAATAATAAATTATTTTTTGTACAGGAAGGATATGGTACAGTTCAGAAAGTCAGATTTTCTTTCTGAGACAGCTGACGAAATCACTTATATCTACATTTGTAGACTGAGTTAACATCCATACATACTGGGCTCTCAGTCTTACGGGAATAAAATGAAAGAAATGCATAAATCCCTGAACCTCAAGATTAAATAATATTGCTTTTGATTTTGTATCCCCCAAGCCTTGAAACCAAGTAGGATTTTTTTTTATGTAGAAACTGGTTGATTAGTTTACTTAATTACATGCAAGAATAATACATGCACATAAGTTAAAGTGCATAAAGGTATAAAAGACTTCTGTAATGGGTTAAGAACAAGGTTGTTTTTCTATTCTATAACCGCTACATACATTGTATACTACATTTTGTACTGTAAGCTGCATTATTGAAACATACTAATTCTTACCAGAAGAGCTAAATGCATCCCTGGAATGATGTTAGTTTGTATACAGATACCATCATCTGTATCCCATAAACACAGCTCCCTGACAAAACAAGTAATCATAAAACACTTAAGTGACAGGTCACTGGATTGAACTGAGAGCGAAGCTAAAATAGATCAGCCAAATATAGCAACTTGGTTGGTCTAGTCTCAGCTCTTTCCTATTCAGTCATTATTATACTCAGTGTGAAGTTTATGTAAAGGTTTGAGTGTGTCTTAAAAACCGCAGACAGTACTGATGTGAAGAGACATTTAAAACAGACGAATCTCCTTAGCAACCCACTGAAAACCCTTCAAATGTAAAGGAACTATATACAGAGAAAAATATCATGGAGAAGACAACTTTGGAAAAGTCCAGAAAATGTTCTCCATACACTTACCAATGTTATTGTTCAAAGCTGGAAAACCATGAACACCTGAAATATTTCAGTAGTGGTGAATCATAAAAAAGGTCAAGATATGTAAGCAAAGCTCAAACCAAACTAATTACCATGTTGCTGTTTATAGTACAGTTTTCTCACACCTGATTGGCATAATAATTCATAAATATTTCTGGTGTTTATGGTTTTCTGGGTTTCACACTCAGTGGATTATTGCATTAAAATAAAATACAATAATTTTCCATCTTCTCATGTAGTAGTAGAAGTTTCATTTGTTAGTCCACAACCTTGCTCCCAGGATCCTCTCCTAATGTCCCCTGGAGTGAGAGAGACTGAGGACAAGTTGGAGAAAACCCTGGGAACAAGGTTGATACAGAGTAGTGGTCACATGATTTACATGTATGGGCACTTTCCATTCAACAAAAATGCCAGTCTGAAATTTCAGAAATTCCACGGGTCCAATGGAACATACATTCCGGTTGCACAGAACTGACCCAAGCCACTGTACGTTTGTTATTGTACTTGTAAGCAGGATACAGAAGATGGCACTGAGTACAACAATTATGTCAAATAGAAACTTAAGGGATATTTCGGTGAAATACATCAGACTGATCAAAGTGGACCACCTTCAAGGTGATCCCAAATATTCTGGTCGGACCCAACCAAAATGGTCCGTTCCATTTGATTTCTAACCAAAATTTCCAGAATTTTGGGCTGAATGGAAAGCGCCCTTGAGTGACGGGGGCCACCTGTTCTATTATTCTTTTTACTAGTTCAGCGCAGCGCAGTATCAGCTACACTAGCCTCACCCATTGTCAGCAGCACTGATGATACTTGACTGATTGTCCCATCCATCAGTAGCTTTTGCAAGCGCTGTCACTTTTGCTGCATGGGCAAAAATTAGGTTCCTTGGGATGATCTGCAACAAAAATAGATAAAGAGTTCAATTTTAATTTGTATTTGGGTATGTAAAATGTGCATGTAGAATGTGCTTTCAATCAGGCAACACAGTTAAATAAAACCTTAACCAACATCCAAAATTGCCATATACTATTACTTGCTATATACTTCAACAAACACAAAACAAAATAAAGTGATTTTATTATGAAAAAAATCAAAAATTAGTCTGTTTTTCATGTAGTTCTTACTTTGATGCCACCATCTTCCGCGAACCTTAAGTCCCATACACCAAGCTGTCCATCTGAAGATCCAGTAACAATTGTTTTCTGATCATAAGTAGTAATAATACATGAGATGCAGTGAGAAGGTGGTGTACTTCCCCACAAAACAACAGGAACCATCGATGAGGAAGACATCTTATTTCATCTTGTCAACATTTATTCGAGCCTTCGATCCTTTGACCAGCGTGTAACTGCTCATGCGCATCATTATTTACTTCGCTCGCTAGCTTCCAATCTTTTCCCTCTTTCGACAAAATGGCGGCTGTGCAAGACAACGTTATTGTGATCATGAATGATGGCCATTATCAATCGGAAATGACCAAGGCTGGGGCCAAACTAGTTGTTGTAGACTTTACAGCATCTTGGTGAGTTACTGTTGTGAAATTAATTGACCAGATATAAATATGCATTTCAGGATCGGGTGGTCGTTGCAATTATTATTCATAGAACACCACTGGAACCACAGGTTTTTTTTTTGTATTCTAACAAAATTCGGACACCCTCTTCACGGTGAAACTTTCCTAGGTGTTGATGAAGTGTTCTTTTTTCAATTAGTGAAAGAAATTTTGCTATTGGAGCTTTAAAATGTGCTTTTAATACATGTATGTGCAAATCGGTTACACGCTTTCGCAGAACTTTTTCTAGACATGACTCAGCGGAATATAAAAGGTCTCCGATTTCGCTGAAGTCTGCACACGTTTTGTCCTGGTATAGAAACTTAACACTTGACTTCACTGATTTTCATTGTTTTTGTTTTTGTTTTTTTTTTCCAGAATTTATTTGCAATCATAATAATGTATTTGAAAATATTTATTCCTATAAAATCGTATTCAGTTTATTTTTGAATAAATGCCTGTACCCCAATGATAATTTATAAAAAATGGCCAGGCTTAAAAGCAAAGCTGTCAATAACCCTTTTTGCGTTTTTTGGTGGCAGTGATTCTAGGCTAATGGATGAAAACCGTTGCAAAAAAAAAATGGCCAGGCTTAAAAGCAAAGCCGTCAATAAGCCTCTTTGTGTTTATTGGTGGCAGTGATTCAAGGCTAATGGATGAAAACTATTGCAATTGCTTAATATTAGACCACCAGGCAAAAACTTAAAACAAAACCTGCTAAAAACAAAAAGATGACAACACCACATCTACTAACTTGGCCAAACTTATTTGAAATAAGTTACTGGGATGTTAAATTAAGACACGTGGTACTACAAGTAATGATATTATTCAGACATCCAATCTCCCTTCGGTTCCCCTCCTTAATACCCACTGCTTGTCCTCCCATGTTCCATAATTCATTACCATTAGTTTGTCTTTAACAGTAAGTATGTGCTGCTCTTGCTCTCTCTTCTCACTGCCAATATCCTTGTTTCCTATAGGTGTGGGCCTTGCAAGTCAATTGCTCCAAAATTTGCCAGTTTGAGTGTAAAGTATCCAAGTGCTGTGTTTCTAAAAGTTGACGTTGATAAATGTGAGGTTGGTACAGTTTGCTATATTGTTATTTGTATTCCTAGATCATGGCTATTAGCATAAATATTTGCCAGTCTTAAACGATGAAACTTGCTTTAGTTTTTTCATGGCTTTTTTGCAGTGAACTTTTCATTTCCAGTAATTCACAAGAAAAACAAACAAATCAGCTATTTACATGCGAAAATGCACAAGAAAATACACGCAATTAGGAAAATTTGCATGTAAAATTTTACACGCGGATTATCATAATTTGCGTGTATTTGATTTACGTGGGTTCTTACATTGCTGGCTGAGCGAGTGCAGTTGTACACTTGTGTGGGTGGCTTTGTTAGCGTATACATTGTATCAAACTTTCGAGACACGTTCAAATGTTAGTATTAAGTTATCTGAGCTAAAAGTGATCCAAGTTTTTAGACCGAATGAGCATTGTTTTTAAATATTTACATGTACTTCACTTGAATCTTCATTTGTAGACTTCGCAGAGATTATAAAAGGTTTCAACTAAAATCAGTTTTAGTTATCAATTCACAACTATTTTGATAGACCAAGTACTCTGTAATGTGACGCTGTAAGTTACGTCACTGTTTTGGTGATAGGTTGCTTCTACATGTATTTTGTTAACAGCATTCATCTCCTACATGTACTTTTGCTTAGCTTGCTAATTTGAGTTATTTTCTTTTGCAATGCCGGCGTCACTCAGTTGTGTCGCAAAGCAAACAATCTGGCGTTACTGCAAGAACTAATTTTAGGTCTCGGGTTTTAGTTTTACCTGCCAAGGAAAGGTTTTCTTTTAAGGTCTTCAATTTCACTTTGTTTTCTGCAAAGAGTGTTTATATCTTTATCAAGAGCAAACAAAATGACACGCTGCATTTTTATCATTTACACAAGCTTCTATTTCCAGAAAACGCAAGAAATCAAACTTCTTCAAACGATTGTTGTAACAGACAGCTTGTCACAAACAACATGAAAATTTGGAGTGAAACTGTATCCAAGTTTAGTAATGCATTGTAATTTTTAAGCAACAACTAAGGACATATTGTGAAGCTCGAAGCTAATTCAATGTTAGAATAAAGGCAGATGTAAAACAGAAACCTTGTCTGTAAAATTTAGTGCCAGTCGCGCAAAAGCAAACCTTCTATTCATCCTGATTGCTCAAACTCTCACTAACTGACTGCTAACTGGAACATTTCTCTTACTCAAGTCGATTTCTCCTGGAATTCCTTCACACAGTTACTGTAATTTTATCCTCGCTAACTTGAAGTAATTTTTTTTTCCCTTCAGATCACTTCCCTATAATTTTAACCTCGATAGCTCAAACCATGTTTTAAGCGTATAGCAAGTCTAAAAAAACAGTGTACTGAAGTCCAAAACATTGAACTTATTTCAAAACAACATTCGGCATGGCAAGTAACATGCATCCAAATTAACATGTAAAATAGCGTATTGTAATTTGAAACCCCACTTCAGCCAACAGCCAAGGAATTTACATTGCATGAATCGTTGATTTACAAAACATGACATTTGTAGTAAGAAAAAGTGTATTGTAAGTTGTTTTCTTTTTCACCGCGAAAAGACGTTTTTCCACAATGTGATCAGCCATATTTGCTGTTGTAAAGAAATACACACAGCTTGCATGTATTTTTACAAGCAAAATCAGTCACTGTAAAAATACATGCAAATTTGCGTGTAAGACGTTTGCGTGAAAGAGCTTGTGTAAAAATTTACACCAGAGTTTTTTTGCATGGATTTTGCGTGGAAATACGCCATATTGCATGCAATTTATACGCGTGTAAGTGCTGCAATGCCCGTGGCCTGTACTGTATAAGCTCTCGCTGTTGTTTCCAAGGGAAAGAGGTTTTTAGTTTCTGGGTGAAAGCTTGATGAGGTGCCTGGACACTAGATATTACAATGTAGTTACTTGTTGTAAGAAAACTTTCATAACTTTCCAGAAAGTTGCAGAAAGCAGCAGTTCTTCATGTAGTTTCAAGAAAATTAAGTGTACTACTTTTGAAAGAAAATTCAGAAATTTTCCTTGCTAGAGGTTATAGTGTTTACAAGTGAAAGTGGCCAGAAACTGGTAAAATTACTGTTCTCATGTTTTTGTTGTGTAGTAGCCCAGTTAGTTTTTTTAAGGCTTCTCTGGCAGAAATGAATTTTATAAAAGTGTACATGTATATGATATTGGTTCTGTTACTTTCACAGGACATAGCGCTTGCAAACAATGTGTCTGCCATGCCCACTTTCAAGTTTTTCAAAGGAAAAGTAAAGGTGGATGAAATGACTGGAGCTGATGAAAAGAAACTTGAAGAGAAAATTAAAAAGTGGATTGGAGATGAAAGTAATGATGTTGGAGTGAAGGGACATGTAAGTGCTGTATACAGTTGCCTTGTGCTGCTTATAGATCCCTCATAATTAATTTCCACCACTTTTTTTAACATTATTGCAAATTTAAAGATCAATTTACAGCAAATTTATTAACAGTGAATGGTTATGATACCATAAGCTGAGGCTTACATGTACAAGCCCTGGGCTTATTCAGCTGTACATCTTCGTAAGGGGTTACGCTAACATTACATAATTTACGTTACATAATTTTGCAAATTTATTTTTTGTGATGTCATCACTTTCTTTTCTTTAATTTCATTTCTCATTTCCTTTCCTCTATATCATTCATGATTAGGGTTAGAAGAGAAAGACAAAGGAAATTGAAAATAAAAATTCTTTTAAACGATTACATGTATTTAAAATTTAAACTGGTTCAAAAAAAATGAAACCAAAAAAAATTGAACCATAACAGATACATTTACTTGTTTTTGCTCCAGTACACAACAAACTGTTTATAAACATTGCATAATACCATCATGTGAGGTAACCTTTATAGGAATGAATAATTTAGTAGATAGTGTATCACTTCTCACTTTGAATTACAGATGGATCTAGGAATATTTATTAACAAGAGTGGATGTGAATGTTTAAATGAAAGTGATGACCATCACCTGTCAGAAGCTCTGACTAAGGGTCCAGGTTGTTTGGAAAGTGATTGTGATGAACAGGTACAATATTTTTGTAAGAGATAGCACAGTGGAACCTTGACATAACAAACGGCCAAGGGACTAGCAAAACATGTTCACTATAACAAGGTTTTGTTATATACCAAGGTTCTTTTTCATATATTTTGCTATTACTGGCGAAAAGAAATCATTCGTTGCACCAAGGACTTTGTTATATAGAGCTTTGTTATATCGAGGTTCCACTGTACTCAAATTTGGAATATTGTATTACAGTCAAGCAAGGTGAAGCATATCCCCCAAGTTTACATTCATTTTTGATGAATTTATTATTTGAAAGTTGAATCCGTTAGTAGTTGAATCTGTGCATTTCAGCATGTCTACAATGCCATGGGCAGAGAATTTACATGTAAGGTAGTTATGTAATTTCTACCAGCTTAGTTTTCTTGAATTTGATGTAAACGTCTTCATTTGAAACAATTTTTTTATCCATTCAAAGATTTTTCAATCACACCGAATACTGAGAAGTTGTAACCAAATAATATTCACTGCTCGTCACGCATGCAGTATTATGCTGATTCAAATTTGGTACTGGTTGTGGCTCAATGAATTTCGGATTCATTTTTCAAATAATTATTTCATTAATGAGATCTATGGGGGTATGCTGGACCTGGCTGGACTGTAATGAAATTGTCTTCTGTTAATCTTGGTTGTGCTCAGTGACATAGATTTCCTTCCGTCCCTGAATATGCTGAAGTCATTACTTTGTTCCTTCACCCATACACAAAATGATCCTGTAGAGTTACGGTTATGAAGACAATATAAGACAAATTTCATCAGGGAGCACTATCCAAAATAAATGTTTTGTTGATTTTTGCAGGCATGACATTAAAACTTGAAAAAGTTTCAATCCATGTCCATCCTTGTCATCCGTAGCAATAGACGACACGAAACAGTTTTAATGCCTAGATATACTCTTAAATAACATTTTTTTAAAACTAGGCCATTTTTTTTTAATTCAATATGATGCAAAGACTCATGTTAGCTTTTCACTTTACTAAGCGTCAAACTTGCTACATTTTGAAACTTGACAAACTTCAGGCGAATAATTACGTTTTCCTTTATATCTTCTATCAACCTGTACAGAATGAAACACAGTGTCACTTCCCTTTAAATATAGCCTGTTCCAGGCTCTCAGATAGTGGGGAAGACGCAAAAGTAAAGGCACACAAAAAGTTGGCGGGGTGGGAAAAAAGGAAAAGGAACCGCCCCTCCTCTCCCCAGTTTCCTCCTGTTTTATTTTGTTTATGCGCTTTCTAAATTCAGCGGGCCCGACTATCTCGGAGCCTGGAACAGGCTACTTTAAATATTGCACCAAAATCCTTAGCTTGTTGTCTTTTTGTTTCAGTTATTGGTGTCAATAGCATTTAACCAGGTGGTGAAACTTCACTCCCTCAAGATACAGGGACCTGATGATGGTGAGTTTTTCAGATCAGATCATGGTTGAATAGCAAGGTTTTTGTTTTCGGCTTGTGTTTAAACTAAGTACTTACAGGCTGTATTTATATTTTTTTTTGTCTGATAGGTAGAGGACCAAAGACAGTAAAACTTTTTACTAACCAAACAAAGACGATGGATTTTGATTCTGCAGAAAGCTTTGAAGCCTTACATAAAATTGAGTATGTCACTATCTTTCCATGAACATTGGAATTGTACGATAACGTATAAACATTCATTTTTCAATTCCGTACAAGCAATGTAGGTAACAACAAAGAATAGGATAAATTATTATAATCCAACTGTATTTTCAGAGGTCTTGTTAGGGTAAAATTCCGACAATCGACATGGCCTAGAAAAATAACATAGCTAAGGACAGATGAAATGTTGACAATTAATGACATGAAGATGGGTTGAAACTATGACTGCAACAGGGAAAATCACAAATACAGTTGTACAGTACCGACTGCAACATGGCCTTCTCTTCAATAAGCGAAATGACGGCATTTGAAATTCTGGGAATGAGGTTGATAATATAATGGTCAACTCATTTTCCAAGAGACAAACGCATCCCTAAAACGAAGTTAAAGGGGTGGTCTCTGCCATTCCTCACCTTTTTTTTAATTTCTATCAGACTATTATTTTGATTATTTGCCATGCAATATGACTTGTATAAAAGAGGTACACTGTGTTTCATTCTGTACAGGTTGACACCAGAAGATATAAAAGAGGACGTAATTGTTCCCCTGAAGTTTGTCAAGTTTCAAAATGTTTCAAGTCTGACGGTTAGTAAAGTGCCATGCATTGTCAAGGCAGGTACAGTGAAACCTGTATTAAGCGGACAGTAGCCAAAGTCCCCAAATTTACTGTATTTCCCTTTTTTTCTTCAAATGAAACCTTTATTAAGCGGACACCTCTATTAAGGGGACCCGGACACCTAAAAAGTACCTGAAATGGTCATTTCATTTCATTAAATGGACACTTGTAATTAAATTCTACCACCCAACATGCCAGACACTGGAAATGCGAAAGATTGCCAGCCACAAATTTTCCGATTTTTACATCAAAAAACGTGGCTTGACAAACTTGTTTGATTAGTTTCACAGTACAGTATTGTGTTCTATTTCTTTTTGTTTGTAAAGAGCTTGTTTCACTCATCTGATTTCTTCAAATTTGAGTTGCAATGTATGTTTATGGTACTACGATCAATTGGTCCACTTTACCTCAGAATAAAAAATGGGAAGATAAAAACTGTCCAGAACAATACTTACGTATGAAACTGGCGTGAAACTACTCATTTTTTAGTTGAAGTAATATACAGTTTACAACAATTAAGAAAAAAACTTGGTCGCGTGGTACAAATCCACGTTTGTTGCCGTTTGGCGTAAACGTGGATCTTTATCTGTCTATATTGTTGTTTCGCCTTTCTCAACTTCAAAGTCTTGACTTACACATAACATGCCGTGTGAACAAGCTCATTGTTACCAAGTAAATTTTTTTTGCTTATGTATTCAGCTATTTTTTCAAAATAATCAAGGAGGCGAAGAAACAACAGTGGTGGACTATATTGGGTTCATTGGAAGTCCTCTCGACACAACGAATATGGACGATTTTAAAAGGGTAAGATTTCGTGACCTGCCTCATACCCAGACGTCTCTCTTTTGATGAAATTGTGCGCGCAAAGGAAGGCGGGAAGGAGACAACGGGCGAGACGGCGCTTCGCCTGCCGTCTGTACCCTTCCCATGGTCTCTTGCGGTTCATCACCAGTTACTTGTTTCGCGCTCGCCTCTGCCATGCGAAAAACGAAGCGCCTGAGGAGGAGGCTGTTTCATGACAGTAAGCCAATAAACCACGTCAGAATTAATTATGAAGTTGCCTTCTCTCATCATACACTTCCTTTGCTTACTAACTTTAAACTGAATGCTTGATGAGTTGTAACTGTATTAAATAATATCGATTCGGCACCAGGTTTTGGTGGAAAGTTGCATTTCACTTTCTTCGAATTAATTTGAATTATCTTTTGTTTCTTTGCATTGATTAAATGTTAAGATTTTGATGCAACCCAATTTTAGCCCCCCCCCCCCCACTTCAAAAGAAGTGGAACAGCCTCTCTCCCCCTCACTTTAAAAACTGCTCCGCGGGCCCTAAGACTGCCATACAGACTATTCATGACTATTACACCTCATTCAGAGTACACTGTATGAGATCAGCCGTGGTTTATCTTCCTTTTTAGTTTATCGTCCCGTCCTAAATAAGACTTTCTCAAAGCCTGTTTCCGGTTTCTGCTGTTTACGTCGGTCGTCTCGCGTATTCCTCGCTGCCTCTCTTTCTTGTGGCAAGTCTAGTCCTGAATAAACTTTTTCTTTCTTATGGGAGCCGAAATTAGAGACCTTTAGATTTGACGACGAGATTTAACTAAAGGTTTTTTTCGCGTACGGGTTATTCTCAAAAAGTAGACAATCCCAGAATTCAACCAGAAAGCTTCATTGTATGTTTTTAAACAGAAAAATTAGTACGCTTATTTTTGTTGGAAAAGAAGACCCTCTTCCGATCGCAAAATGATAAAATTTCTAACATTTAATTAGTTGTTTCCGCCGCAACGACTCACTAAAACGCGTAGTAGAATGACGATGGCTATTACGTTTTCCCGCCAAAATAACGCTGATTCACGCGCGCGCACTACTCATCATTGAGAGAATCTCGTCCTTGGAATCAAAACGTCTCCAATTTGCTGAATCCAAAGATTGTGACATTTGTGCACAAGCAATAAACTGGTTTATGACCATGGAAAAGTAATCCCTTCACCTTCAGTATCACTCTTACGCGGTTTTATTAGTTTTTAGCAGAGGGTACCCTGGTTTTTAAGTGTTTTATAACTGGGTTTTCGGAATTTTTGTTAAAGAAATACGTACGCCTGTACTCTTTGGCCGTAACTTTTCGAGGAAATGTATGGGAACGTGCGCATGTGTGTTTAGCCCATGCAGGTGGCCGCATATACTACGCAGCCTTAATTATGAGTCTGCCTTCTACATTCTCTCACAGAAAAAAGGAAAAGAAACAGAAAATCATGTCTTGTTTATAATATTTGTTTGTGTATTCATCAATGTTATCTTCTAGGTGGCTGGAAAGAAAGGCGACAGACATTAAGACGTTGGATTAAACTCCGCAGTTGGTTTTGACTTGGTGTCGACCTGAAATTGCTCAAGATTAGCCTACTTCAGACTTCCCTACTTTTATAATCAGCTGTTTCATTTCGCACACAAGCTACCAGATAGTAGTTCAGTGTAGCACACAAGTTTACAATTCGAGCACTAAAGCGTGAACAGCAAAAAAAAATGAGTACTTGGGGGAAAGAATGCTTTTTATATTGATACTACTGTGAACAAAATTTAGAAGGACATGCTGCTCTTTTATTTTAATAAAAATGAAAAACCACAGGCAGCCCAAGCGCACTATGTGTGGGTTCGGGCTTCAGAGGTCATTTGGTCGGAATATACTAGAATTATTGGTGTATTTTCTGATGCCAAATAAATGCAAAAATCTTAAAGATATGAAGTCGTCTTGTTTGTCTATCTGTACTAGTAACCTTTAAGATAACAGAGGTCGATATATTTCTTGTATTATTACATGTGATTCGAGCCCTTCTTGTTCGAATTTTATCACATGTATTCGAATCTACGACGCTAAGAAAAAAAATCATGATCACGCGAAAAATTGATTCAAAAAGCTCCCTGACCTTTAGTTCACAGCCACTCTGTGTCCTACGGCCGGTTTAAACGCCGTTTAGCATGTTTAGTCGACTTTCTTTCCATCGAGTACTGAACACTATACTTCTTTTATAGTGTTCAACCTCGGCGTTCTTATCATACCACAGGGTGTCTATTCATCCTGACGCCCGAGCCCCGTTCTAGCTATTCCCGGTAGCCTTTCGAATCCGGCCACATTTTAAGATCAAATCTAGCAGCTTTCAAGAAACGGGCCTTACGAAAGTGTCTTCAGACATCTCGAAGGCATCGCAGCCTATTGTTATGAACCCAGCGAGCAGAAGCTACTTTCCCGTGAGGTGAACTAGAGGGCGAAATTAGCCTCGGCCGACAAAAGTCCCTGAATGAATAAAGCTTTATTTAATCTCGGGTTTGGTGAGGTTGGTTAGACTTCTAGCAATGATTAAATGTGCTAATAAGCCGAGAAAGAAAAACAAATAAATAAAATAATAGAGAAGTAAAATGGAAAACCAAAAACTCATTTTCAATATTCGAATATGAGTCTAAGGCTTAAATTTCGTAATATAGCTATTTACAATAAAAAGCCTAATTAAATGATAGATATAGCTATTATTGAGAATAAGCTAGAACCTTAGCTGGTGGACTGCTTTTTTTAAAAGACTATATCCTTTGGGATCTTCAGGTGGAAAAACCTTGTTCCAAGTGATAGCCCCCAAGTATTTTACTGTGTTCTTGCCATATCGAGTCGTATTAGGCGACGGTACTAGCAACTTGTTAAACCCCTCTCAGGCCAGTTTTGATGTTGTCTCTTAACCTGAAAAGGTCTCTCAAATATTCAGGTGGATATATATATTGTTTATAGCTTTAAACACAATAAATAACATGTTCTGGATACGTCGATCCACATACAAGGCTGTAACCAATACGATATAAATATATATATATAACGAACTGCTTGTTCATGCAACCTATCCATTTTTTTGCTATCAGACTTCAGTGATGATGTGGATGGGCTAAAGTAGGTTCGGCTGTGTTTTTTTTGTTTGTCTCTCGACATCCTCCTAGACGATCCAAAGGCAGCTAATCGGCACGAAATATTCTCGAGCTAAATCATTCCCCCTGGTTCCCTAAGGGTCTCCAAGGGTTGATTTCCACTGTCGCGTAATTTTTCCGAGGCCATATATGAAAGGCCGCGCGAAAAAGTAAAAGTTGAGCGAGGTTCATCTCTTATGTTTATGAGTGACCTGCCATACTTTGCCTCTATTTTACTTACGCGCGTAAAATTTACGTGCGTACGTACGGAAAAACTACACAACAGTGGAAATCCACCTTTATCTGGGAAATTTCGGTGTGTTGGATCGGTGTTACTTTATGGGAGGTGGTTGCACATGGAGGTTCCAGTGTATCAATATAGATCTCATGATGGAACAGTCCTCTTTTTTCTCCATCTGTACTTTGCTCTTTTTAGTTTTTTATTTACAAGTAACAATGTCTACCACGGTCAGTCATTTAATGCGACCATACATCACAATAGCTTCAACTCTAATGCAAGCCCAAAATGATCCGACACCAGTGCCTTGCTAGCGGTTTCAAGTTTGATAATTTCTTTGCGTACCACTGCAATATTCGAGCTTGCAAATATGGCGTCATAATTACCACCGTCAATGTTGGTTTCTATTCTAGAAGGGAAAACGGAGCGAAGACCAGCTTCTTTCATTGTTCGTAATAGTTCTATATATTCTTCACTGCTATTACTGAGGGTCGGATAGCGATTATCAATGTTGAAGTCCCCGCCTAAGATAACATAAGCAGAGGACATGGTGTAATTCCTCGTTGCAGAAGTAAGCTCTCTTGCTTGCATGATTCTTGTATCCGGCCTGCTTGGATCAAGATGTGTGTTAACGACATAAAGATGCCGAGAATTTACGATGTACTCCCCTATAACGAAGCCCATGTAGTCCGTGTACTGAAAGAAAGAGAAACTCTGAAATTGCCTGGATGTTGCTCTTGTCAAAGGTATACGGCTAAATATAGCAATTCCGCCACTTTTTCCCACGTAAGGTGCCATAAAATCTGCAATAGAAGTTCTATAATGAAATCCATGTTTAGACATTGCAGTGACCAAACGCGAGGCGCACTCTGAGATAACGCCTAATCCCGCGTTTACGACATATGCTTCTTGAACAAGTGCAATGTCAAAGTCCTTAATGCCCTCGACAAGGCGTTCGATTCGTTCATTAAAGTTCCATATAGAAAACGGGTTGAAATATTGACACCGTATATTATAGCTGATAATTCGAAGGTTTCGTTCAATTTTACAGGTAGGGTGAATTTCGGAAACATTTTCTTGGCTAACAAGACTGTAATGGAATCGTTGATCGTCGTTGTCTCCTCCAAAGATGACGTTTTTGGTCAACTGCAAGATCACTATCACACACAACACGGCAAGCAAGATTTCTTTTCGATATGCGCGCCTAGACATCTGAAACGAGAGAAAAAGAGCAAGTTTAAAATAATGTATCATATCATGAAAAGCGCATTTATTAATTCTTCATTAAAGGAAAATTTTTTACCATGGGATGCATGATACTATAAAATATCTATACCTACATTTAGCCACCCTCTTTTCTTAAGTTCCAATTTCTATATCAAGGCCCTATATCTACATAGCCCTATATAAAAATGACCCTCCCTATAAAGACTCCTCTTCCACCCTCCGCCCCCCTCCCAATCATTCCGTTTGCTCTCTTTCAAACCTACCCCTCTAATGCATCCTCCCTTAGAGCTTAGTTCAAGTTTTTACGAAAACTCAAAGAATTCCCAAAAATTATTTTGAAGGAAGTAGTAATGTTGGGGAGGAGAGCTCGAGCGAAATGGAGGAGAATGGAGCGGAATCAGCAAACACCTCTGCGGCTTCGCTGCTCATTTGCGCGGTCTCTACAGAAAACCGCCAGCTACCTAACCTTCAATGTACACACTCATCTTGCGAGCAGTTTCTTTTGAGTCACAGTAGATCGAGAGCATGCGCGAGGGCTGAGCAGCAAAGGCGCGAGGAACGGGGGCCAAAGCCCGAACGAAGAAAAAATTGTTACAATGAATAATTATCCTTCTTTCCTCTTTCCATCCCAATTTCTCCTACTTTTTACCGTTCATTAGAATGATTTTTATTTTTTACTTGCCGCACATGACTCTGAGGAAAGAAAGAGCTCGCGGTCTAATCCAAACTTGGCCAGAGTACCCAAAGCCCCCATATCTGCAAACAGAACAGAGTTATTCTGCCTGCCTGCGGTAAGAGACGGGGGCCGGGGATTTCCCCGGCTACTATGAACGTGTCCCCCGGCTACTTTCATACGAAAATAGAAGAAAAAAAAAACAACTTGTTTTATTTACCCGGCAACTCAAAATCTTGGAGATAGCCCAAAATTCTTATTCTTGTCAGAAACCTCAATTTTGCTCGGATTCTGTTTGGTATCAGAAGAAATTTTTTCCGCTCTTCGTGTCTCTTGTATTTTCGCAAATATGGAAGGGCCGGATTCTGGCCAGTAGCCAACAAATACTAATTGGGTATTCATTATGCTCAGCAAAAACAACTTCCGCCAAAGTATGCTATACAATGGAACCATGTGGGCGCGTTCTGACTAATAATCGCAAGGTATTTCCACTCGTCTTGTTCCTAGACTTTGATTCTTCTTACAACTGTTATCCATGTCACTCAAAAATGTCTTATTCTGCTGGAAGAATTTATCCTTGTTTTAATAATCGCTTATTCTGCCCGAACTTCTACCGACAGAATAAAATCCAAGCCTAAACCACACTTTTCTGTTCTACGACCCCGAATTTGTTTCAGTCTTTACTAGCAAAGCTGGCTGCACTCAAACAGTCATTACAGCAACCAATCATTGTGAAGGGCAAAAAAATTGTTCCACAACACTGAAAATGCTCAAACGACGAAGTAATATAATGGGGGGGAGGGGAGTACATACATACATACCAGTTATTTATGCTCGAAATTTACAGAGTAGCTGTAGAGCTAATGTATTCGAGAAAATAAGTTTAAAAAAAATAAAATATGCTATATTACAATTCCAATATTGTTTATAAGCTATATACAACATTATACATGCAAAGGGAAATATAACTTGTAAATCTACTGTGGAAAAGCTTCATATCTGAGGATCTCCTGCTTGAATTCTAGAAAATTTAATGTTTTGTAAGTGTCTGGGAGAGAGTTCCATATTTTGCTAGCTAAGTATGAAAAAGAGTGCAGACCGTAAGTCGTTGTCTTTAGGTTAGGAAGGGCCAGGATATGATTTCTGCGCAAATTGTAGGATGAAGACCGTACAGTGAACATATCTTTTAAATAACATGGATTAGTACTTCCTTATAAGCGGCTAATGGGGATGTGCCGCTGGATGGGGTCGCATTTTCACGACTGGACTGACTCTAATGGGGTCACATTTTCAATAGAGTTACTACAATGGGGTCGTACATTTTCGGATTTTCTAGGGTAAGACAGTTCTTCATATTTACAGTTAGCAAACGTACCAGAATGTTTGTACTGTGCATGAAAAGTAAAGTGTTCTTCATTCAATCTAAAAAATGGGCCAATTCGTAAAAATAGAAGGTGACTAAGTTGGGAACACGAAAATTACTTACTTGCCCAAAAGTGACTAAGATGAGGTCTATAATTGGCCACAGAATAGACTATGATGGGGTAGGGGCTCTGAGAGGCCAGCGGCACATACTCAGCAAAAATTAACCCAAGTACCCCCCCCCCACCTCCCCCACTGGGTTATTTGCATATTATACATACCAGTAAGTTGCACAATATTTGAAAAAGTTTGTGGTTTTTCTAAGGGCCTGTTTACATGGAGGCGGGGGAACCCAGGTAGCTGAGGTAACCCGCTTAGGTGGGGTAACCCGCCTGTCCGTATTTAACTCTCATTTTAATTTATCACGTTTACATGATAGGTGTGGTGACTCATCACAAGTTACCTCACCTATCTGGGGGTCCCCCACCTCCATGTAAACAGGCCCTAGGAAAAAAATCTGGTACAGTTGACTCTCTCTTAACGGACACCTCTATACAATGGACACCCCTATATTACGGACAACTCTATAAGTTGGTCACAACCTTTCTTTACTCTCTTCATTTGACTCTCCATTAGATGACACCTCTCTAGGACAGAAACTTCAAGTTGGTCTTAAAGGTGTCCATCTTAGATAGAGTTGACTGTAGATCCAAAGTGTGGGATGTGTCTGCACTTTACATTGTTCCAACTGTGGCAGGATTAGCTCAGTCGGTAGAGCGCTTGACTGCAGAGTGGAAGGTCATGGGTTCGATTCCTGGGGCAGGACCAGTACTGAAGGTCTTAAAATAACTTAGAAATGAAGGTACTGTCTTTGCCCTCCAAAAGGCTAGACCTTCCCATGGCTTGGACGACCATGTAAAATACCGGTCCCACCTCCACAAGGAGATGGAAAAATGGCGTCCACAATTAGTACTTTTGTGCTAAATTCATTGACACTCAAAAAAGTGCATTTTTGTCCATGGGAGTGGTTATTGTTTCTTATCTCGTGTTTAACATTACCTATAGTTCACCTTTTTGTTGAAGTTTTATGTACCTTACATATATTTTGGGGTATTTTTACACAATCGGATCATTGTAATTTTTTATAAGTAAATAATAGTAAGTTATTCCTGCATTTGTATTTTATATATTTTTAATTATCCCCTCTAATCTCAAACTTCTTTTGCATTTTCGATCGATTTTTTTTCAGGAAAGTGTTTCAACAATCTATGACTCCTGAGCAATGAATATTTCAAAAATCTTCCCTGCATTCAGTCAGATTGAAATATCTTTGAATGGACAAAATTGCCTCAAAGACATTTAAATCAAATTCAAGAAAAATGAGCTGGTAGAAATATTTTCATAAATACCTTGCATGTGAATTCACTGCTCATTGCACATGAAGGAATGTAAAGATGAATCTTAAATCTACAACTAATAATGGATTTTGAATAATAAATTCATTAATTGAATCTTGGGGGTATGCTTGAGCCAGCTTGACTGTAAGTGGGTGATTAAGGTCAATCAGGAAATTTATGGAGAAATATTTTGTATGCATAATGACATAATTCACTGGGTACAAATAAGGTTAGTAAAAAAGAAGTGAGTTTGTGCTTATTCAGTTTTTTATATCGTCTGCATTTTCCTGTTCTTTTTAATCACACAACTGTATTTTCTTATCCCACATTGAAAATAAACAAAAACAAGAATCAGGACTAATATTGGTGTTCAAAAAGACATCTTCCCATATTAATTGAAAACAAAAAAAAACAGGATCAGTGATGATGGCAACAAGAATGTCCATCAAAAAAACAATATAGGGTCTGATAAGCAAGACAACATGTGAACTTTGCACATGCAGCACACTTTTTGTACATTTCTTTGCTGTCACTGCATGACTATTACTTGTAAATGCTACATTTCATATTTCATAGAGGACATCAACAAGCCATGACAAATTTTTCTTTTTCCTTTTGAACTTGAACATGGTTCTAAGGAATTTAACTGCAGGGGAGTTTGCCTACATTTGACAAAGTAAATAAGCTGGAATAATGGCAATGAAGAAAACAAAAGCACACATCACTGTCACCAGCATATTAACTGTCCTCAGTCCTCTAGCTGAATGTGCATGGGATGACTCAAGAAAATGGCAGAAAATTTCTCAGCTGTACGAAGATGAAATAGCAGAATCATTGGCCAAAATAATAATTGCAAGAAAATGCGTAACCAAAAAAACTCAACGGATTTGTGCAAAAGGAAGCAAAAACAAACATGAAGGTAAGAATGTTATAAGGGGTTACAAGTTAATATTTTATAGGAATTATTAAATAACTTTGAATTTAGCTTTTGCTATTTATGATCTAAAGAATTATGCACATCTAAGACAGTGTAATCCACATGAATAACACCCTCCAGCTCCCCTTTATCCGCATAATTTTGTTATACTCTGACTAACTGTTAACTGTTATACTCTAACTAACTACTCTAACTGCAACCAGAAGCTACGTAGCGGTATAACAACAATATTGAAAAATATTACACAAATTCCTTTCGTGGTGTCCGTAATACAAAACAGTTCGTTCTTGAGTAATATTAGACCAGGGCTGGGTTGTTCAAAGCAGGGTTAAGTTAACCCAGGGTTAGTGCAAAATTTCAATTTAGATATGAAAGCTTAAGAAACAAATTCAGTTTTATTCTTTTTGTCCACAATCTGATGATTTGATGTTCTAAAAAGAATCGAGAAAATTAGCCTGAAAAATGCTTTTGAAAAAAAGAAAAAGAAACCTGGGTTAAAATGTAACCCTCGGTTAGCGCTAATCGGCCTTCGAACAACTGGGCCCAGAAAATAAACAGTGAATCTTTTAAAATTCTATATAGAAAAGTCCTGACAAGTTTGAAAGAAATAAAGGAAGCTAACGTGAATTTTCTATTCAAGTTTTGGTTCGACTTACCGAGGCTACCGCCGGTACGACCGTACACTATCCAGATAGATAGCACAGGAAATTAGGAGGCTCAAGTATTATGTAAATAGAGGAACCATTTGTTGTCTCAGTATAAGTTAATAAGGAGGAGACGTTCGCTGGACGCCCATCAAAAAATATGATAAATTGAATACATTCTAAGCTTAAGTAAATTTTAAGCTTGATAAATCCCCTGGTGTCTGACACTAGGGAATACTCAAGTATAAAACAAGATTCACTTACAATTTATCTGAAAACCTCTCGTTGCAAGGTGTCCTTGTTCAGTGCTGTTTCAGAAAATGCATTTGCAATGACACAACAATTAACCCGCATCATTTCATTGCTACGCCGCCATTTTTATAGTCTGCTACATGTGACACATGTGTCGTCACGCAATCACGCACTTTTTATTACGAGCGGACCTGAAAAGGCTGGAACCGAAATTTTCGCAGCCTCGTTCCCAGTCGTCCTCGGCGATTTGACGTCATCGCATCGCACTGTACAGCTCACGAAATGATCCCGACCCCGAAATGATCCCCAACCCTTAAATGATCCCCTAAGCGACCCCGAAATGACGACTGACTGACCCGGAAATGATCCCCATCAGGAGCCTGTCCCCATTTCTCTTCACGTCGACCCCGAAATGTTCCCCAATTAATTTTAGGAATGGAATGATATCCTCTAGAACTATGGATCGATTGAAATGCACAACATTAACTTAAGTTTCACTAACAATCTTCTCTTGCCCACATTCTTTAATGACATTAATTTGCGATAACACTTTGAACTTGATTAACGAAAATATTTTTTATTATTATTCTCGGCTTGCACTGTCACGAAATGAAAATAAAGATGCCAACCATTCAATACAGAAGGACTAGAATCTGGGAAGTGAAAAAAGATAAATATACAAAAACCCTTGCCAAGAATCAAGTCTGTGAAATATTTCAAATGCGAGGTATTGGGAAAAACGGTTTACCTAAATTTATAAACCTTTGTATGGAAACGCCATGTTGGTGTCCCGTTCAGGAACACCAATATGGCCGCCGGATACCAACAGAAACATCTGTTTTCGAGTTTTCCTACTAATGCGTGAATTCTTCGCTTGAGGAACTCATAAAGATTACAGTAATATTTATTCTGAGACAAGGAATGTTTAGATTGCAAAATCTCCCAAAATCGGTAACGTTTTTAACCCACATAAGAGCTTTCCCGGCCGCCAGCTAAATGCCGCGTCACGCGAAAGCTTGGAAATTCAAGCGTCCTCTCTCGCAAAACGAAGAACCCTTTCGAACCAAAAATTTGTTCGTGTAAAGGTGTTTAGGTACTGTAATACCTCGTGAAAGTAGAAACTCAGAAGAATCGATAGTTTCTTAGTTTGATTTTTGGTGACGTCACGTGCAACCCAAGAATATAGACACGAGTGTTTTACTGGAAAATATACCGTAAAATTCATAAAAACTACATCCGGGACCCGAGTGGTTTATTTTCCATAATCTCACACGTGAGTTTATCGATGACGTAATTTCGGTAATTCCCTCCAAAATTTGTAGGCGTCTTGCGTCCTTTGAATTTGAATTACACATTTTTCAAAGCTTTGCTTACATTTTGTCATTGTTAACAGAGCCCTGTTCAGCTCAGTGTTATTTCTCAAGATTATTGTAAACAATGTCTTATATTGCTGTACTGTAAATTTGAGCAGTGACAATTACTTTTTGGCGAACATAAATCTATTATTTTATCAAAGCCATTTTGTCTATATAATAAAAAGAACTTTACACGGCGGCTTGAAGATTTGAATTTTATTTTCTCGTGGCAAAAACTCGAAAATAAAATTCATATCTTCGCGCCACCGTGTAATATCCTCTTTATACGAAAAGCCTAGCATATTTCACGTAACACCATGAACTGCAACTGATAACATCAAGAAACACATTTTTATTATTATTACTTGGGCGATTATAGCCTTACTGGTTACAGAGAAAACTGTATGGATGTTAAATTCAAATTTTCAAAGTGGTGTTTTAGCACGTTTTAAAATTTTAAAATGATGATGATGATGATGATGATGATGATGATGCAAAAGTAGACATAAAGGCAATAAGATGACAAAAGCGCTAAAAAATCACATAGACTGTAGTGAAATTGCAAACGTTACAGTCAAGAAGACTTTTGCAGGGACTGATCAAACAACGTGAAATAGAGTTAAGTTGCGATATTTCGACTGGCCAATACCAGTCTTCATCAGGTTTATTGAGATATCACGAATTTACAGAAATATATATGAAGTAAAATAATGACCGGAAATTACATAATATGACGTGGTATGGTGTAGTGAGATGTAAAATGCGATTCAAGAACGTAAACGTTGCAACAGACCGGCCTGTAATAATTCCGTGACGGAATACCATTCCACTCCAAGAATTAATTGGGGATCATTTCCGGGTCGACGTGAAGAGAAATGGGGATCATTTCGGGGTCGATTTGGGGATGATTTCAGGGTTGAAGACCATTTCGGGGTCGGGTTCATTTCGGGGGCTGTACATGTACAGCACTCGGTTCCAAGCCTCCTCTGGTGACTCGAATAGCGCGAACAGTGACCTGGCTACGGAGCTGAAACTTTCGTAATGGGATCTCTGGGCCCCCGGACGATTCCCCGGGACGTCGCAGCCCTTGTTTAGGGACGGACCATCAGAAAACTTATGGGGGGGGGGGCAGCGGGCAGCGCAAAATTTGCAAATACCCCACCCCTGGGACTGAAAAGGCAGGCAAATTTCCCGCAGTAGCCGGGGGGGTGGCTGGGAGCAGCTGGAATTGAATGACGCATTATCAAGCTGCTGTTGCTAGGTCCTACACGTTCTAGTGATTGCATACCGGGTCTATATTGATCGACACATCTTGACTACATGTATAGAAAAAATAGAAGAGTACTTGCTAACTAAAGATAAGGTTGAATGTATACTGAAATGTAAACTTTTGATAACCAAAGTATAGAATTGTAGAACATTTCGCTTAAAATAAATTCCATCAATATTGTTTAATCCAGGTTTCTACCTCGTTTTTGCAGTGCGATTCTCTTCCTTTGTGATAGAGTCAAAAGTTATCACAGTTTTAATTTCTTTAGTTTGTAGTTCACAGAAAGCGAATTTGAACAGAACTTTTCTTCGTCATGAATTTCAATAAGCAAATCATTGAACGAAGAAAGATTTCGCCCGCTAAAGGGATCTGGAATCCAAGTTTCACTTACAAGAAATTCGGAACCCAGAACAGGAAATCCAGAACAGTCCACGGCGTGGAATCCAGAATCCAAGACTGTCTCAGATTATCTTACATCGGGCGAAAGATTATAGCGTCTACTGCATCATTATCAAACATATTGTCTTTAACAGTGAAAAGTTGTTTCAAAACGAGTTGAGGTTATTTGCATTCCCATAGCGCGCGTCGAAATGTTCAGTATATTAGTACCCCAATATCCACCTTTTTCTTCTCCAGGAACCGCTGGGGATTCCCTTTCTAAGCATCGCGGTTTTCCGTTTTCAACCAAAGATCGCGATAATAACGACGTTTGGAGTAATAACTGTGCAGAGCGTCATAAGGGAGCTTGGTGGTACTACGATTGTTTCTACTGCAATCTCAACGGAATTTACCACAATGGTAAATATCAGCCGTATGGATCCATGGCTGATGGTGTGGAGTGGAGATCATGGAAGTATGGCTACTCTGCAAGAAGAGCTGAGATGAAGCTTAGGGAAGAAAACCGTTAAGAGAGTATTTTTTCTTGGTTTCTTTTAGAGGGGAGATAACTTAGGGTTTTTTGTTATTCTCAATTTATTGTGTCGTCAAATAAATTTGTAACACAGCGTAACAGACTTTTTTTTTGTATGGTATTAAACAAGGGCGGATTTTGGGGTGGGCCCAGGGGGTCCCGCCCCCTCCCCCCTTTTGTCCTGGAATTTCTTTTTCTTTTGTAAACGGGGGGAAGATGGTACTTCGAGCTTTGTTACTTAAATATATTTTCTTTAATAAACATTGTTAATAAGAAAATAATCTGTGTTCGAAGCCTACATTTTTAGTCGCAAATGACAAAAGCTCCCAGAATGCATGCAGTAAATATCCTTTTCAAACAAACTGGATTTGACAATTTTCCAGGGAGACAATGTTGCCGCCTTTGTCAGGAGGTTGTGCTTTCGCCGTAACCCTAACCCTAACCCTAACCCATGTTTTTTGAACTCCGCCACGCATGCACATTTATTTTACCCATAAAAAATATCATTTTTGGGTTGTTCACAGTCCTGTTTCCGTCTGCAGAGCCCTTTTTTTGTCATAGTAGTTACGAACAAAGACGCGAGTGGAGGTACACGTGCAGCGATCCCCGAAGGTCTTCCGTAGTCTGCTTGCAAACGTCTCCTACATATTAGATATATATTTCCTTTGCTGCTCACCGAGAACCCCTTTTCCGTAAGAAACAAAGGAAACGGGAGATGTCTGCTAGCATAACGAACGTGCTACTCATCTGATGGTTTAAGTAATTATGGTGAAGATAAAAAAAGAAACATTTACCTTAGCACGAACCTTGGACTGAATCCTTTTATCTTCCTTATGATTGGTTTAACCCACTGTAAACTAACAGCTGGTGATTCTGACAGCAGGCAAAAAGTAAAAGCTGTTCAAGCAAACAAACTAAACATAGCAAAGTAAGAGTTTTACTCAAAAGCACCATGGTTCATTTTACCTCCTTCGTGCTCTTTGTTTCGATTTTGCTTTCGATCGTTTCGATTACAGCCCAGACACAGAATCAGTTGGGTTCAAAAGGAACTCAGCAATGTACAATCAACAACAACTTCTACGCTGGATCGAATAAGAAGGTCGAAACTGTTATGTTTGAGATGAAGAAGCAACTGGATGAAATTCAGAAGGAACTTAGAAACTTGACACAGAAAACAAAGAAAGAAAACAGGACTAAAGGTAGCTATCTGGATTCGTTGCTTACGTTATATCATTTCAGTCTGTAAATCAAATTTAAATACAACGTACCTACATTGGTTATCGTAGAAGAAAGTCTTGGTCCCAAAGATATCACAGTTCACATTGCACTTGAGAGAGGGTTTGTAATTTCTTATCCTTAGGCTTATTTTTGATAAAAATATCTCTAAATTATTCTCACCTGATTGTATTTTTGACTGTTTTTGCCTAAAACTCATCCTCCAAAAATATTGAAAACTGATGCCTTGTTATTATTTTTCAAAATTTGCTTTAAAGATTTTCTCTCCCAGTCCATCCACAAAAGCTGAAACAAAACTGAAAAGTGCTTGCTTAAGTTGATAACTGGAGGCAGGGGTCTTTTTACGCCCAAAATAAAGGGAAAAAATTATCACTTAGTCTGCTAGGCCACTAGTTTTTGCTTGACACTAATTTGAATTATTCATTTTCCTTTAATTAAATCTTCTTCTCACTGTCCCTAAGAAATCCATTATCACAAAAACTGTGCTGACGTGTACAAGTCGGGTGACAGGATCAGCGGTGTGTACACAATCGACCCGGATGGCTCAGGCGCCTTTGACGTGTACTGTGATCATAGTGCCCCCGGTGGGGGTTGGACAGTGTTCCAAAAGAGACTGGACGGCTCGGTTGATTTCTACCGCGGCTGGAATTATTACAAGCTTGGCTTTGGTAACCTGAATGGCGAGTTTTGGTTGGGGCTGGATAAGATTCATCGGCTGACCAAGAGTGAACGTTGCAAACTTCGTGTGGATCTCGAAGACACCGCGGGAAAGACAGCCTATGCCGAGTATGACATGTTTGCTGTAACAAGCGAGAGAACCAAGTACCAGTTAGCAATTGGAACTTATTCAGGTATGTAGGCGTATCATCTAAACAGGGCTAGAAAAGTTTATTGCCCAATCGCGCCCGCCCCTTGTTTTTTTTGGCTAGAAAAAAATTTTCTCGATGGTAAGCAGTTTGCGAGAGTGATTATCCAAAAAAAAGTGTAGAGGTAAAGGTGTTCATGTAATTGTAGCGAGGTCCACAATACACACAAACAAGCAACCATGTAAGACTGTGAAGATTGTCGGTTGTTATTTTTCCAAGTTTCTTAATTTCAGGTTTGGTCGATGCAGATCATGATCACCGAGTCTTAAGTACTTTTTTGCCTAACAAGTAAATAAACTGTGTGGCGATTTGTCTGTAGGAACAGCTGGGGATTCTTTGACCTATCACAGAGGCCACCCTTTCTCGACCAAAGATCAGGATAACGACAACTGGTCCAAACACTGTGCGCAGATTTTTAAAGGGGCTTGGTGGCACGACAGTTGTCTCTATTCCAATTTAAACGGTCCTTACCATCATGGAAAAATTTCAACTTCATACGTAGGTGTGGTCTGGTATCACTGGAAAGGAGCTGACTACTCTTTGAAGAGAGCTGAAATGAAGCTCAGGCCGGAAAAGTTCTAGGAAAGCTTTGTTACTGTACTAAGCCTGTACAGCAGTAGACTTAAAACGTCTTGAGGACACACGAAAAGTTTCGAAATCAAAACCTTTACTGAACTAATTATAGAGTGATAATATTTTCTTTCGATTAAGCATAAGGAATAGTTTTTTTTTAATCTCTAATGAATTCAATAAATTTTTATAGATTGAAAATTTTGGTTGCGGGTTGGTCATACAGCGTATCAAAACAAGGTAGCGGTGATGATACTGATCATTTCTAAAGAATGTGACTGGATGACAAAGAAATAAATGTTTTTCTAACTTTGATTCTGCTGATATATAATGAAAATGATCATTTATCAATCACACACTCAACAATAAAATAATTAAGTAAATAAATAAAGGTTTATTAACTGTCAGTTTGATTGGTTTTCGCACTTATGTAGCCAGTCTCACCAGTGGGACATTCACTAGAAGAATACTCCAATACGCCTGGTACTTCTTTCGTATACCTATGATCCACGGATTTATGATATCACAGCCGGTTGAAAAGCTGGCGCGAAGCAGAAAGATGGACGCCCGATGCTATTTAGTTTCTTCATTATTTTCACCCACAGGCTAATGGAATTTTATTGTTTCTTGAACTCCGAGGATATTGAGAAGATATATTGGCGGCTTTTAAAGCAAATGTCATGACCAAACAAAAGATACTTGGTATCATTTTCACGATAAGCTTGTCATGAATATCATGCAGCTGTGAGGAATATCATGGCAAGTCTTTCGCTGTTCTCAAACGGTTAGAGTTTGATCCCATTGGCCTAAACCCCCTTTGGACACCTTATGAAGTTTTCACAACTTAGTATTCCTTATCGCTCCGGTTTCGAGCACTGGCAACAATACTGATTAGGGTTAAGCACTGAAAATAGTGATTAGAGTTAAAACAACAACAGAAAATATGTGGTGCCAACTTTCCTCACTTGCAGCTAATGGCTAAATTGCGGAGGAACCAGAGAGGTGAGATCGGACGTCAGCATGTAAAGGCACACTCTTGCAGCCACTTCAGTCCATGTTTTGATCACACCTCGTCCACCCAAACGGCACAAGTCAGATAGACCATGACATCGGGGGCCTACGTCCCCTACTATTTTCGAATAATGTCGCGGGTTCTTTTACGTCCGCTTCCAACTACAGTACAAGGACCGGAAGGAGACAAGGCCAACGGCTTAACGTCACTGCCCAATGACGCGATCTTCTGAACTGGGAAAGGAGTTTCACAGCTAGCATGATCTCACTAGCCTTTTTTAAAGACCTTGGTTGATGGTCCGGCCAGGGTTTGAACTCACGATCTCCCTCTCAGCAGACCGGCCTTCTTCCAACTGAGCTAACCGATTGACTGTGCTTATAATTAAGGATTAATCCCTGAAAATAGTGACTCCAAATGGTTAACTTCTATTTAGGGTCAGGGTTGTTTCTACATATAGCTTCAAATTAAACCTATTCTTGCCAGCAAATCCTCAGCGGCGTAGTGGTATAGTTGATGGACTGTAAGTCTTTTTCTGCTCAGTAAAGCGAGGGTCCGTTCAAGAATTTGGCTTTTGTGGTTTCTAATTTACCGAAATCATCAATCAAAATAGCCTATCATGAGCCGAATAGAATGGAGAAGAGTCCGATGGTCACACTTTGAAGTAGTAACAGCTAGACGGCTTTATCACTCAACGTAAAGAGCAGTGAAGTTCTGGAATCTGGAGAGACCATCAGAACTGTAATATAAGAGATCTAGTTACTTTAGAAGATGTTAGCAGAAATGTACATACAAGTTTTTCTGCAGCAGAACACATACGTTCGCTTGGTAATTATTACTATATTTCCTGATGTAAATTGGTATGGATTATTAATAACTTTCAGTGGGTCATTCATAATGCTGTACTGCACTTTTAAAAACTAAAAATATTTTATCTCACAATTATCTAATGTATGAAAAGTGAATTTTGTGTACTTTAATCTGAGGACTTGAATATCTAGCCGCGATTTTTGAAAACGTTATCGCTAAATGGACCTTTTGCGTCCAACAGTTTTTTTTTCCGATCAAAAACGATCTCCAAAGTAGCTATTACAAAAACTGAGAGTGCAACCCTTGCTTTTTTTCTTCTCCTCCTTTCCTTCCCCGCGCTCATTGTTTTTCTCCTTTCCTTTGCCTGTGTTACCATGATTTTGGAGCTTCTCGGGCTTAAGAAACCTGCCTTTTGACGCCTTTTCACTCAAATGACTGAAAATTTCGTTAGGTTGGTATTCAAAGAATCGGTTAGATATGCATTTAGATTTACAAAACAATGTCTATTTAAGTCCTAAATCTGGTCCTCAGACAAGAGCTGACCAGAAATTAAATGGAAAACAAAGTACCACAATTTACAACACAGTTAAACAAATTTGTAACACAATGTAATAGACTATTTGTTTTGTATGGTGACCCGGACGTAATGAAATTAACGCTCCATGAAATTAAGATATTGGAAATAAACGCGACCTAAATATCATCAACAGGCTTAAATACAAAAAAAACCAAAGTGTCCTCAGAGTGAAATACAGTCGGACTTCCACACAATGGCGACCTCTCTAAAACGGCCACTTTTTTGGCGGACAGTCCACACACTGACTCTTGTTTAAACCTCTCTATAACGGCCACTTTCTTCTGTCCCCAAGGTGGCCGTTGTGGAAAGGTTCAACTGTAGCTGTCTTCTAGAACAAGAAGCCCTTGATTGGCTCCTACTCGAACCCCATTCTCGTCCCCAGAGCTCGTCGTTTCTTTTGGGCACATGGTCTTGAAACGAGGAACTCGCCACTGGTCCGTTACAAATTAAGCCGAGTCGCCCTAAGGACGAGAATGGCTCGAACCCATGGACTGTCAACGCTATTTTTAAAACAGAAGTGATCGAATGAAGGTTGAGAACAGAGGAAAAATGGGTAAACACGTGTACATGAACCAATCCCCGAGGGCTTCCATAGCTATATGTTCGATGTACTATTCCTTCCTTCCTCTTTCCGTAAGCAACAAAGGAAGTAGGAGATGTCTGCGCGCATCGCGAACGTGCTATAACTCTGGTGATAGCTAAAGCAATTATAGTGAAGATAAACAACGAAGCATTTTCCTCAGCACGACCCTTAATCATGAATTAAGTCTAAGTTCCGGCGAAACTTGAACTGAATCTTTCATTATCTTCCTTATGATTGGTTTAAACCACTGTAAACTAATAGCTGGTGATTGTGACAGCAGGAAAAAGCAAGGATGTTCAACGAAACATAATAAACGTAGTAGAGCGAGAGTTGTACTCACAAGCACCATGATTCATTTTATCTCCTTTGTGTTCTTTGTTTCGATTTTGCTGTCGATCGATTCGATCGCAGCCCAAACACAGAATCAGTTAGGTTCAAAAGGTGCCCAGCAGTGTACAATCAATAACAACTTCTACGCCGGACCGAATAAGAAAGTCGAAACTATGATGTTTGAGATGAAGAAGCAACTGGATGAAATTCAGAAGGAGCTTAGGAACTTAACGCAGAAAACAAAGAAAGAAAGCAAGACTAAAGGTAGCTATCTAGATTTGTTGCTTATTTTATATCATTTCTGCAAATGAAATCGAAAAGCAACGTACCTACGTATACATTGGGTTGTAAAATATTTAATGCTCCTTTTTAATACGGACACCTCTCTATCATACGGGCAGTTGTCTTATCCCAAAGATGTCAAAGTTGGCTTTGCCGTTGAGAAAGGTCTCGACTTGTGATTTCTTATCTTTTACCCATTTATGATAAAATATCTCTAAATTATTCTTTACGCGACTATTGCCTAGACTGCCTAAGACTGATAACCCATTCAGAAAGTGGGACAAAGTTTATGGCATCCTCAAAAGATATTGGTTTTTTGTCTCGAAAATGGCGTACGTATAGTTAAGACTAAGAAAGGAAAGCGCAAAAAACTGATTGCTTGTTATTTTTCAAAAATTATTACTTTAATCATGCAGAGTTTTTTTCTCCCAGCCCAACCGCAAAAGCGGAAACGAAACTACTGCGTCAGCTTAACTTTATTATGGGCTTTTTATCAGTTAACGCATATGATAAATAAATGAAGTTTTTTTACGTGCATGGTCAACTTCCGGGGGTGGGGGGTGGGGGTACTCCCTATAATGGCCTAAGCGGGGAGGCTCCGCACAAGGAGATACCATTTTCAAGCCTCAGTATATGACTCGGGGTATGGATCTCACTAGTTGAAGCATATGAAACGGTATGGAAATCTATCATTTCGGACTGTAAAAAGACCCAGAAGGGTAACAGATGCATTTTATCATGGCTGTGAAAAAGTCGAGAAAACGGACTGGTTTTGTGATTTATTCACATTTTAAAGGCAGTACATTTACAGCAGTTAGTAAAAGGGATTCAAGGTTCTAAACTAAGTGTGCAAAAGAGGTACCATTTGTCAATAGAGGGTATACAAAAAGGGTACATTTTCTGTCAAAAATGGTATATAAAAGGGTAAGGGGTTGGACCTCGGGGCAGAGCCTCCCCGTATAAAACTTTCTTGAGTACCCCCGGAAGTCGGATAAGTCGGATAAGGTTCTGTTTGACACTAAATTAAATTTTTCTTTCTCCTTTCCTTCTTGGTATTGTCCCTTAGCGATCCATTATCGCAAAAACTGTGGTGACGTGTACAAGTCAGGTGACAGGATCAGCGGTGTTTACACAATCGACCCGGATGGTTCAGGGGCCTTTGACGTATACTGTGATCACAGTGCCCCCGGTGGAGGGTGGACAGTGTTCCAAAAGAGATTGGACGGCTCGGTTGATTTCTCCCGCGGCTGGAATGATTACAAGCTTGGCTTTGGTAACCTGAATGGCGAGTTTTGGTTGGGGCTGGATATACCAAGAGTGAACGTTGCAAACTTCGTGTGGATCTCGAAGACACCGCGGGAAAGACAGCCTATGCCGAGTATGACATGTTTGCTGTAACAAGCGAGAGAACCAAGTACCAGTTAGCAATTGGAACTTATTCCGGTTTGTACGCATTATCTGAACAACTTTTCATTAACCAATGTATAATTTTGGAATTCAAGCATTTATATTAGAGAAGAGGAAATTATAAGCACGTGCGTGTGCACCATTGATCCTTGCTCGATTTATCACATGATAATAGATGCGGTCACTGACCCTAGCGATTTTACCCATGGGCTATGAATGTTTTTCGTTAAACACCGTAAACATGAAAGTGATCAAAACCCAGAGGGACAACAACCCAAGTTATTTCTCCGTGGGGAGCGTTGCGGAAGACGTCTAGTATGACCGCACCTAATTATCGCTGAGTCTTGTGCTAGTCCAAACGTCGAACATTTCTTGATGTGAACGAAACTTAGTGAGTTAAGTTCATGAAAAGTTCGACGTCTGGCTCAGTCAAGTTCGTCTGAATGAGTTTGGATCGTCCAACACATTCCCTCCGTCTCTGGGACAAACGTTGATCTTCACATGCGACAAACTAAACTGATAAATTAAAATTTGTGAGGTAATGTATATTTAGCCCCGTTCGGGACAAAAATTTATTAAATTTGAGTTTTGGTCTGATTTAGTTGACTGATTCGACTCGTCCTTAGTTGAACGTCTGACCCAACAGACGATCTTAACTGAATTTAGGTCGACCCAAATTAGAGTTTGGTGCGTCTCATGAAAAGTTCGACGTTTGGCTTAGGCCTTTTAAAAAGCACTTAAAAGTGCTTTTTATGCTTAACTAGTAATTCAGCTTGGTGGCGATTTGTCTGCAGGAACAGCTGGGGATTCTTTGACCTATCATAGAGGTTGGCCATTTTCAACCAAAGATCAGGATAATGACAACTGGGGCAAACACTGTGCGGAGCACTATAAAGGAGCTTGGTGGCACGAAAGTTGCCTCTATTCCAATCTAAACGGCCCGTACCATCATGGAAAAATTTCAACTTCATACGTAGGTGTGGTCTGGTTTCACTGGAAAGGAGCTGGCTACTCTTTGAAGAGAGCTGAAATGAAGATCATGCCGGAAAAGTTCTAGGAAAGTATTTTGACTGCACCAAGTCTACACAGTAGTGCACTTAAAATGACTTGAGGACACACGAAACGTTTCCAAAATTAAAAACCTTTACTGAGCTAGTTATAGAGTGATAATATTTTCTAGCGATGAAGAATTAGGATAAGTTCTCTAATGGACTAAACATTTTTTTTATAGAGTGAAACCCTTTTATTAGCACCACCGCTGGACCAGGACATTTTGGTCGCGGGTTGGTCATTCATCAGCGAATTCAATCAATCAATCAATCTTTATTTAAACACGGTAAAATCCATCAGGAATTTAAAAATTAAAGATAACCTAACTATCCTAAACAAAATTCAAAACCTAACTACAACTAATCTAACTAAAACCTGTTTTTCATGAATGCCGTGTATAACATTAAAAATGAACATTAACTAATCTTTTAAATTGACTAAGAGATTCGGCTTCTCTCACATGACAGGGTAGGCTGTTCCAGAGAACTGCTCCGCTATAAGTAAAGCTGTTTTTCATGAAATTAGTTCGCGGAAATGGGACAAATAGTTTGTTAACAGAGTCCCTCAGGGAGTAACGCGTTTCATTTCGTTTAACAAACTTAGATGATAAATATTCAGGAACAAGGCCATTTAAAGACTTGTATACCATTATGGATTTCTGTATTTGAAATTGAGTGTTCAAGTCTTTCCAATCGAGTTGTCTAATCAAACGGTTAGCATCAGCATCATAGCTAGAGAAGGTTAAAACGCGAGCGGCACGGTTCTGAAGCTTCTGTAGCCTGTCAAATAATGTTTTACCACAATTACCCCAGACAAGATTGCAATAATCGAATTGAGATTGAATTAGTGAGTTGTATATATAGTGAAGGGTAGGTGGAGGGACAAAAGGTCTAATTCTTTTTATTGCTCCAATTCCGGAAGCGACCTTTTTAGATAATTTATCAATGTGTGTTTGCCACCGTAGATTTTCATCAATAAATATTCCAAGCGATTTGACAGAGGAAACGTGTTCTATCGGAACATTATTAATCGAGAGCTCAAGTGGGTTCGACAAAGTACTCAATTTTTGTCTGGAGCCAATTAGCATGAATTCAGTTTTAGAAGTGTTCAAAGTAAGTTTATTAGAAATAAGCCATTTGTTTAGGTTATCTAAATCGTGACTCAGAGTTAACTGTATTGAATTCACATCAACGCCAGCATAAGTAATGTGGGTGTCATCGGCATACATTCTAGGCTGGCACGAAGTAAGGCAGTTTGGCAAGTCATTAATATAAATAAGAAATAAAAGGGGGCCAAGGATTGTTCCTTGCGGTACCCCACATTTAAGAGAGCAGATTCTAGAAAGAGAACCGTTAACAAGACATCGTTGTGTACGATTAGTTAAATACGACCTAAACCAATCAAGAGCTGTACCTTGTATTCCGTAAAGGTTCATTTTAGCTAGAAGGATATCGTGGTCAACGGTGTCGAAAGCCTTTTTTAAATCGAGGAAAACCACAGCATTAACATTGCCACGATCAATATTAAAGGCCCAATTATCCGTAGCTTCCAGAAGGGCAGTTGCAGTTGAGTGTAACGAGCGAAAACCCGATTGATAATTAGAAATGATATCTTCATTGGTCAAAAAGTTATACAACTGATCATAAACAATCCTTTCAAACACTTTAGCTATAACGGAAATGACTGAAATAGGTCGATAATTATTCAGATCAGATGGCTCACCTTCCTTGAACAGCGGAGTAACTCTAGCACATTTCCAATCATCAGGAAATATACCAGAGACTAAAGATTTATAATTAACGGATAGCAGTTGAAAAAGCACGCTTATTTCCGTTGAAAGAGGTAAAGCCCTCTTCCGATCGCTAAATGATAAAATTTCTAACATTTGATAACTTGTTTTCGCCCCAACAACATTCCTTGCTAAAACCCGTAGTAGACAGACGACGGCTACCACAGTTTTCCCGCCAAAATGACGTTGGTAATCGAGCGCGTGCACTACTTAAAGGGTGCGTTCTTTTGAGATGATCCGGATCAGGATCATGGTAGATCAAATAAACCGATGAATCCACTCTGGACAAGGATTCATCGGTTCATTTGATCTACTATGATCCAAATGATCTCGGATCACTGATCATGATCCGGATCATATCAAAGGATCGGAAAACACCCTTAGTACTGAGAAAATCTCGCTCTCGTAGTCGTCCTCGTCTTAGAATCTAAAGCTCTCTAGTATCACGTCTAGTAGTATCGTCTCAGTCGTCTGAGAGCGTTTGCATATGATCGCTTCAAAATTTACAGGATCGTCCGGATAGATCTCAGCTCTATCCAACTCTATCTATCGAGGTTGTGTTAGTAGTCCGGGTAGCGTTTCCATATGATCGTCCCGCTCTGAAAATTATTTGCGACGACTGGAACGATCGGGTACGGGACGATCCGGACGATCATATTGAAATCAGGCTTTATGCACCCCGAAAGAGTCACACTAGTCACTAGACAAGCCGAATTCAGTAGACGAAGTAAAGCTGTGAAGCAAATAACAGCTTGACTTCAAGAGATGGCCGGTGGTCCACCCAAGACTAGATGGTGTTTTATATCAACGAGGTTGTAGAAGAAGGATATGACTGGACTTTTGTTCGGGCCAGAGATAATGGTTTTACTTTGTCGTTGTACTATAGAGTTTACGTTTACCCGTAACAAAACGCTGCCTAGTTTTCAGCCATATATAGGTAGTCTCCTCGTTTTTATCTTGTTAACAGCCGGTATGCGGTACACCTCCTCCTGGACTGTAATACCAAGTTTGTTGGATAGATTTTGTAGTTTATTAATATAACTTTATTATAAGAAATTAACGCGAATTAAATTAACCGGAATTTAGTACAATAAGTGGAAAACGACTTTGGATTAACGAATTACGTTCACAAACAAAAAATATTTTACTTACTCTGAATTTGTGCCGTTTTATCGAAGCACGCAGTTGAAATTTTGAAATAAGCTATTCGGCATCTCACAAATTTTTCACAACCGTTGTTTGACCCATAAGGACATATAACTTTGGGGGGTTTGCACAGTCATATTTCCTCTGCAGAGTCCTTTTTCTGTAATTTTCAAGAATAAAATCAAGTGGAAGCTGATTACGCAGGGAAAATAGGGCTTCCGACGTCCCGTAGCAAAAATCTGATAGTGAAACCAATTATAGTGAAGATAAAAAAGAAACATTTACCTTAGAACGACTCTTAATCATGAATTAAGGCTATGTTAAGACTATACTTGATAACTTTCGCGCCAGCACGAAAATCATACCGGACTGGGCTTCTGTTGACCCATTTTATAAGAACAGTGATTTTGGTTCGATTTCTGCAACGTATTAAGCTGCGCCGGGACGATCTCAAAAGTGGAACGTCAAATATCGGATAGTTTCTTGGCCACACTTTGGTGTAATTTATCCTGCGAGCAGGTTCACTTGTACGAGTTCGACGGGGCCAAAATGTTTCCCGAACTCGTACAAGTGAGCCTGCTTGCCGGCTCTTGGTGTAATGTGAACAGGTAGTCGGACACTAGCGGAAGTAAATAAGTAAGAAAGAGGACTGGAACCCACTGAAACGGAAGGAAATACACTCTTTTTTTTATAAGAGTATATTTATAAGAATATCGAGGCTAAAATTTGCGAAATTTAAAGAATATTTTAAGAATAATCCCGAGGCTGAGAGTTTCAAAAGGATTCAATTTGTGTTTGAAAATCTGTAAAAACAGTATTTTAATTTATCCGTAGAAAATTGTTCCCTTCACTGAACGACAAGAACACTGGTAATGGAAACCCCAATACATTCTAAAGCGGAAATGCCACAAGCTATAATTTATAATTAACAATTAATAATTTATCATTTATTTTCAGCCTAAAATCGACAGAAAAATAAGATCATTCAGCCTGGGCCGGATAAACAACATTCTTATATACAAAAAAGTGGATATTCAAGAGTGAGGACTGGGATTTACAGAATCAAACCCACTAGCTTGGCCAACTGCTCAAGCGCGACGTTCAATGTGTGTAAACAAGTTGCTCCAGTTAACTGTTGCTCTTAACGGTTGCTCCAGTTCTGTCGTGCCGTTGCTGTTTGTACTATATAAGGGCGCTTTCCAAAAGTCAGAACTGGCCGGCCGGACCAGACATTTTGGCAATGAAACAGGTTTTTTCCAAGACGTTTTGCTTAAAAAAAAAAAAAACCATCTCCTTTGTGCATAGTCTTTAGGATTTGACTGATCTTGATGGTTAGTTTTGTGTTGGTGAAATTCTCATTTCGATGGGAATGGGCTGGCCGGTCAGTTCTGACATGAGCGCCCTAAGATAGACACGAAAGCTATTCGGTATAGTCTTATATCCTAAGTCTAGGTTCCGGCGGAACATGGATTAATTTTTTCTTATCTTCCTTATGATTGGTTTAACCGACGATAAACTAATAGCTGATGATTCTGACAGCAGGCAAAAAGCAAGGCTGCCGGTTAAAGTTCACAAACTAAACATAGCAAAGCAAGAGTTGCGCTCGGAAAGCACCATGATTCATTTTATCGCCTTCGTGTTCTTTGTTTCGATGTTGCAATCAATGGATTCGATCACAGCCCAGACACAGAATCAGCTAGGTTCAAAAGGGACTCAGCAATGTACAATCAACAACAACTTCTACGCTGGACCGAATAAGAAGGTCGAGACTGTTATGTTTGAGATGAAGAAACAACTGGATGAAATTCAGAAGGAACTTAGAAACTTAACACAGAAAACAAAGAAAGCGGAAAACAAGACCAAAGGTAGCTATCTAGATTTGTTGCTTATGGTATATTGTTCTAGTCCAGTAGATTAAGTCTAATTGAAGTATTCATTTGTAGTAAAGTTAAGTGTAAAATTGACATAACGTAGTTATTGCAGAAGGATGGTTTTTTTTTATATTTCTGAAACTGGAATTAGTCTCTCAACTAACTACGAACACCTCCTTATTAATATCATTCAGTTATAGATAGGTGTCTTTATTAGATAAGGACACCTATCTTTTACGGACAGTACTCCTGGATGGTTTTAAAGACATCAAACTTCACAATGAACTTTTTACTCCTCTATCAGAATACAGACACCTCTGCAATGCAAATATCTGGCTCTGGGTTTGGGATTTCTTATCGTTTTACCCATTCTTGATAAAAATAAAATATCTTTAACTGATTATTGTTATTGCCTAAGACCCATTACATATTTTAAAAGGGACATAGTTTATGGCATCAATAAATATTGTTTCTGTCTTGAAGTGATATTTTCTTAATACCTACGTAGTTATTAGAAAAAAGAGAAAAGCGTATTAAAAATAATACCTTGTTGTTCCTATTAATCCTGCAGAGATGTTTTCTTCTAGTCCAATCACAAAGCCTGAAAAAGCGAATTGAGAAACCGTGAAAAGCGCCTGATTAAAGACTTGGGTCATTTTACGGACGTAATAAATGATCATGAAATGAATTTCATCACGTAGTCACTAAAGATTAGATTCTGTTGGACACTAATTTGAATTCTTCATTTTCCTTTTAACAAATCTTCTTCTTCGGTTCCTCAGCGATCCATTATCGCAAAAACTGTGCTGAAGTGTACAAGTCAGGTGACAGGATCAGCGGTGTGTACACAATCGACCCTGATGGCTCAGGGGCCTTTGCCGTTTACTGTGATCATAGTTCTCCTGGTGGGGGCTGGACAGTGTTCCAAAAGAGATTGGACGGCTCGGTTGATTTCTCCCGCGGCTGGAATGATTACAAGCTTGGCTTTGGTAACCTGAATGGCGAGTTTTGGTTGGGGCTGGATAAGATTCATCGGCTGACCAAGAGTGAACGTTGCAAACTTCGCGTGGATCTCGAAGACACCGCGGGGAAGACAGCCTATGCCGAGTATGACATGTTTGCTGTTACAAGTGAGAGAACCAAGTACCAGTTAGGAATTGGAACTTATTCAGGTGTGTAAGCTTATCATCTGAACAGGGTTAGAATATGTAGTCAAACGTTTTCGTCGTTGTCTTCTACTCAGGATCGAATTCTTTCAGGATGTGAGGATCACAAGTATATGGAGTCCAACATTATGGAAAGTTCCTTTTTTCAATGTGACTTGTTTTAGCCTCTGTACAGCTCCCTTCTCTCGAGAAGGCAACGTTATGTTCTTTCAATTATCCAGTCGCTCTCTCCTCTGTTGCAGATCACTCACTCCTTTGGCGCGAAAACATTTTCCGCAGTTTGTAAAGCAGTTTGCTCGGCCAAAATTAAGAGTATGAAAGGAGATATAAAGAGCGTTCAGATTGTAGTGGGCAGAGCACAAGCCCAGCCTAGAGGCCGCTGATTAAAATCGTCCTCTCACCTTCTCACTTACAAGAAAGTTTATATGCATACTGGAAACCTAAGGCAGTTGGCATTTGTTGGTTTTTCCTTCTTCGAATTCTCCGTGAGGTTAACCATGTTTTCACAATTTCTTTTCCTAACAATATACAAAGCGTCTTAACTTATTTTATTAACGATATTAGCTAATGAATTTAGAATGCTTCACGAATTACTAAACTGTTTTGCAATTCGTCCGTAGGAACAGCTGGGGATTCTTTGACCTATCATAGAGGTCACCCTTTTTCAACCAAAGATCAAGATAACGACAACTGGCCCAAACACTGTGCGGAGCACTTTAAAGGGGCTTGGTGGCACGAAAGTTGTCTTACTTCCAATCTTAACGGCCCGTACCGTCATGGAAAATTTTCATCCAAAACTTCATACGACGGTGTGGTCTGGATTGATTGGAAAGGAGCTGACTACTCTTTGAAGAGAGCTGAAATGAAGATCAGGCCGGAAAAGTTCTAGAAAAACCTTTTCACTAAGCTCGCTTCCGTAGCTTGAATACGAACACTGTTATGAAAGGTGCTGAGGCCACACCAAGGTTTTTCGAAATATATACCTTTACTGAGCTATATAGTTTTATTGTATTCTGTTTTGTATTTCTCTTTTTCTCTGATTGTGGAGTGGGACCCCCGTTATTATCACCACCTTTGGACTCAATAGGATCGGGAAAATGTGGTCACGGGTTGGTCAGCGTATTAACGAGTTATTAATAAAAACCTCTCTTTCAAAATTGATGGAGTCAGTTAAAGTTCTGTAGTTTCCCAAATTATATGGTAAATTAGTCTTTCGTTAAGTTCTGTCACCTTGTAAACCTTAAGATATTTTTTTCTATAGATTATATTATATGTTATTATGTTTTATTAGTTATAGCTATTATGTGCTCTTCTCTTGTTAATATCTTTTATATTCATATATAAATTTAGGGTATATTTCAGTCGGATTTCCTTGATAACATAGTTAAACCTTTTTTTTTCTTCTCTTTCTTTCTTTTGTGTCCGCATTTGTGCTACAGTATTTTGCTGACCTGGCCGGCTCAGCCAGACTCCATGGTTATTCCAGGCAGCCAGTACTCTAATTTCGTTTCCGATATTTTGATTGTTGTAATTTCTTATGAGGCAAGAGGAAGTAAAAATGTCGTTGTTATTATTGTAGCGGCAATGATACTTCTCATTTCTAATTTGGATCATTCTGTAGACTGATTTGATAATTATTTTTTTAACTCTCAATCACACACTATTTAGAGAATAAACTTTTATACTTAGCTGCGAATACAGCCGTCTCTCCTCCTCCTAGCCGCCAGAGACGTTTCGCTTCGTAGCGGCCAGGAGCGAGGAGTTGAAATCACAGGATAGTGTATATTGTGGTTCAGATCGTTTTGTTTCCTCACTTATGCAGGCGCCATCCTCACCAGGCATTAGACTATCCTATCGAATTCAATAGAAGAAGTACAATTGTGAGGAAAACAACAACTTGACTTCAAAAGATGGCTGTTGGTCCACTAGACCGCCAGCGGTCGTCTAGTCCTTCTTTCCTCAGAGCCACGCGTGGCGAGTGAAAAAGTAAAATTAAGCATTTTAAATTAATGGAATAAAGGAGCAGAAATTTTGCTGGCGCTTCGGCCCTCGTTCCTCGCGGCGTCGCCGCTCGCCCCTCACGCGTACTCTCGATCTACATGTACTGTGATTAAGAAGAAAAATAAGAGGCTGTCCGCAGTCTATTGATCCACTCAGTGGGTGATGTCTTTTACATAAACGAGGTTGCTGAACAAGGAAGTGACTGCACTTTTGTTCGGGCCAGAGGTAAATGGTTTTACAGTGCGGTTTTACTATAGGCAGTTCATGTTACCCCTAAGTAACGAAAACGCTAGTTTTCAGCCATGTAAGGAGTCACCATGTTCTTATCGTGGTAAGTTAAAGTTAAGAGGCGATATGCGGTACACCTCTTCCTGGACTGCGCTACCAAGTTTATTCAGGGATCCTGACTGTAGCCGGGTCGATCTGTATATACCACCCGACCGGTAGCCCAGTGTTCAGTAATCGGAATAACTAGACCTTTTCAATCCTTCAACCTGGTCAAAATCCTTAAATAGGCCGATTAAAAGACAGATAAAGTCAGGCAGCCACCTCTTGTGCCGGAAAACGTCCACTGACTCGTTGGTTTAACTGCTTAGAATGACAAAATATAGGACCCCATGTTATGATTAAATTAACCAGGAAAAATCGCACAAAACCTAACAGATGCAATCCGACGTTGTAATGGAACTTCTAGAAGGCGCGGGGTCCTCAAACCCTTGGAGTCACTCGGTAACTCCATAAGGTTCCGTAGGTACTTACGTTCTACATATTTAAATATACACTGACACCTGTCATTTTTTTTACTACCATGCAACTAAAATCATGAAGTTGTGTGTCGGCCGCATAGTCAATTGTTGCAGTTCGATCAGCCACATGTACCACCCGAACGAATTTCGCGAGATGTAGTAGTGTGAAGGCGGCCCAATCAACCGCAAGGGGTCTCTAACTAGAACGGGTCTACCGTATATTCTAATTGCCAACTAATTTATTGCTTACAATTTCTTTTTAAAACATTGGCGGTGCCGTTTTTTTTTCACAAAAAGTGCATCGAATGTTTCGGCTTCCCATTGTTCAATTTGCACAGGTAGGAGGGGACTATACCATGTATAGCGTCAGTATCAGGAGCCATAATCGGAGTAGGAGACCGCAAGAGCGGGGTCCACGAGGTTACATCGAAAAAGCCAAATGTGTTATTTTTAGAACAAACTGCGCCACCGTCAACGTCACAAACTCGAGCGGGAACCCCCAAATTTGGTGGAATTTCAGGAGATGGGCGATCTTCTTGCGACTTTATTTGAGTGCTCTCTCAACTTTGGCAAGCGCTCAATAACATCTCGATATACGATGTATGCACACTGGAAGAATAAACCAATGTTAACATTACTAGAAATACGGACACCCGCTTGTTCATATTTTTACACCCGGCAGGAGCAAGCCTAATAGAAGTTGGTTGAATCCAGCTCTACGGTTACCTCGTTGTTACAGGCAGTTTTTCTTGTCCCTGGGGAAAGTAAGCCCTTGCATTTTCTCGAAAATTCACCCCGTTGATACGGACAGTTTTATGCCCCGCTTCCCACCCCTACCCCATCCCCGTGTCTTAATATTAACTGGGTTTGGCCCAGGAAATTCGCCCCAGTCTCTCGGGGATTGTTTTCACTCATGTCTTTCGTGACAAGGCAGTGTATAAATACGTCCGCTCCGGAAGATTTGCTACAAATATAAAGGACGTATTTTATGTGAACAAAAACCAACATAAACTGTTATTTTGATACAACATGATCTTAAAAAGTAGGTTCGCTGATGTTACAATTCCTCAGAATATGTCATGGCCTGAATATGGGACGGTATCGGTTCAAGGTCGTTCTCTAGACTTTCTAACGGAACGTTTATAAACGATGTATGGGTGTAGTCTAGTGATAGCCCTCCTCAGCAAAAGAAAAAAAAAATGCTCTAAGAAAGGGACCTGAACCTGCCATTTCGTGAGAAATGTTCATACTTTAGTGAGTCAATAAATCAGATAATACACGAGAATCTCGAGAGCAGAACCACAAGTATAGAACCCGAGATTGAAGAATGTTTTGATTTCAGACACCTCTTTGTCCGGTTGCGGTCAATACATGCTGAATAGCTGTTATAGCTTCTATGCAAATTTAAGGTCCCTTTGCGCAGTATCGGCTTTCGTGTTTGCCGTCAGCAATATATAAAAAAATTTACATAAGAATTCTTTGTGATGTGCCTCTTTTTGCATACTGGTCACGCAAATTATGAATGCCTGTAAATATTTACCGAAGATCGCGGACACTGCCGACTTTTAAATTCTCTGGTAGTTAAAACTTACTATGGTCGTAACAGACGGGAAGATACCTATTTACCGAGTGAGAATTTTGGGTTGTTGGATATGAGAAGGGGAGCGGGCGGGGAGGGTTAGTCTCATACTCAGCCGTTTTTTAGCGTCGTCACACGCAGACTAACGGGAGGGTCTTGGATTTGGTGCTGTCCAAGATGAATTAAAACCAGGATGCTGCTCTAACGAATCGTCCTTTAACAAGGGAAATACATTGAGACAATATGAGGCCGTGTTGAAATGCCCTTTTCTGTCGAGGCGAGTGCAAGACACTTTTTTCAGCGATATCCTCAGTTCTCGTTACCCGATCAATGCTCTGTTTTCGATATTTTTAAACATGCCTGACGGCTATGCCATGCTGGAGAGTCCCAAGAGGGGCGAAACAGCTGTCCATGGTTACCACTGCCCAGTTGATATGGTTGTGCACATGCGTAAGGTGCTGGGCATACCGTGGAGCTTGTACTGTGCTTTAGTGGTGGTAAAAGGTGTTGTTTACAACCCATGCTACCATGCACTCCCAATTACTGATTATTAATGCAGATGATTACCTGCCAAAAATCGAAGAAAACGAGTAAAATTGCCGTGACACAAAATAATGTAGAGCGCCTGTTATGTATCTTGCTTTCAGATCGATGGGGTATCCGGCCACTGCTACACGTTCAAACAACTCAAGAGCTTGACTAGAAAGTTTGCTTCCTCTCTGGTGAAAAAAGGCTTTATAAAAGGAGAAGTTTTTGCTATCTATCTCCCTAACATTGTAGAATATGCTATCGTTTTCTATGGTGTGGGTTTCGCAGGGGGTACCTCTACCACAGTGAACCCACTTTACACCGCCGAAGAGTTAGAGAAGCAGCTAAGTGAGACACAGGCTACGTATCTTGCTACATCGCGCCAGTTCCTAGACAAAGCTCTAACTGCAAGTAAGGCCCAAGGGAAAATAAAAAAGATCATTGTAATCGGTACGTAGAGCTAACAGAGTTGTTGACGTCAGCTCATTTTGTTGTCGCAGTTATCTCCTGACTGATCTCCCCGACTTGAACTCTGTGCTTTGTTCCATGGGGGCGGGTAGTCAGGGAATGTTTCGGTGGGAGTTCGCCTCTGCCGTGGACCCTGAAACCCCCGATCTATACCACCCATGTTTAACTGCTGATTTTGCCAACTTTATTCTAGACTAGGTACCAAATATCCCTAGGCTATGACCGCTATGAAACAGAAACTTCAGTTTCATGCCATTGTTTGGTTTCTCAAATGATACCAAGTCACCAAAACTGCCTGAAAGCCCATCTTTTCACAGAAGCTCGTACCACTCCGGCTGGCTTTTTGACTCTCGGACTACTCATTAACGCATTTTCCATAATACACCTCATTTGCACCTCAAAATTTTGCCAAAATTTTGCATAAGCAATGTCTTTAATTTCTCTCTGGTAGACTGTTGTAAAAACAAGGAGAAGTTGGATTTAAAATGTTTACGCACAATTTTAGAGGACATCGCAACGACAATTTTTAGCGCAACACAACGTTGCAGCATTGTTACAGCATTGTTTTGAATGGTTACAACATTGCTCCAACATTGCAACGCTGTGTTGTGCTAAAAATCGTCGTTACGAATCGTCCTGAGTAAAAAAGTACATCACTTTTATGGTAATACGTAAGTGGTGAATAAGGTAATATAGTCAACTCTCTACGTGACGGTCATCGCCGGCTGAGACCGGCCCTGCTGTCCGACTTAGAGAGTTGCCAGTCAAGGTGACGTGATACCAGTAATACAGGAAAATAAAACTGAACCGATTCACGTCTGTTTTAATTATGTAAAACAGTAGGAAAATGAAACACTTTCTCATTTTGTAATCAAATGTTCATTTCATGCAAACATTCATGGGTTAGTGATCTAAAAGCGTAACAGTTTACATTTGGGTATACCAGTCTGCGAACTGGAACAAGACTACGAAAAATTAAACTACATGATTACATAAAGCACGCCTCAAGTGTCCTTTGATGGCCTCAAAAATGTCCTTTATTCGTGTTAGATATGTTTTTGTCTTTTTAATGGATAGTTTAATTGCAGTAAAATGACTCCCGAATTAACGGCAGGGACCAACACGGGGTGTCCATCTTCGAGAGGTGCCCGTTATGAGAGAGTTGACTGCATGCATAATTAGATTGCAAAAGACGTATTCGACTGCTATGAGAAAAGAAGATCATTAGTTGTTTAGGTTAACATTGATTATAGTTCCACTAGTGTGCAATTTCTGTTATGATTTTAAATTATTTGGATAAAGTCGATATACATAGGACTGTATAAGACTCCAAATAAAACATTGTCTTGTCTTGTCTTGTCTTGCATAACGAACCGTTCTTTAACAGATCCAGTGGAGGAAGTTAGTAACTGCGACTATGAGCTGTTTACCCAGCTCGTTGACGACGGCGAAGCAAGCTTTCCAGAACAGATCACGATACATAAAGACGACTTATTCAACATACCATACTCAAGTGGTACCACAGGGTTTCCAAAGGGAGTAATGGTCACCCATGGTAACATGCTGGCCGACATTTGCATTATGCTGGGCTCAGGAACTTTGGTTTTAACAGAAGAGACTGTTCTATTGGCACTGCTTCCGTTTTATCACACGTATGCTCAGCTTATTATGCTTGGTGCGGGCCTAGCCCAGGGATGCAAGGTGGTTGCTTTGCAGCGATTCAAACCAGAAACATTTTTGCAAGTGATGCAAGATTATAAGGTGGGATAAGCATTTCTGTCAGATCTCATTTTTTCTGCGAGAAGTACATATAGGGGACGTTTGAAACAACTGACATACAAGTCAAGCGAGTGCCATAAGAACAAGAGTCTTTTAAAGCTAAAATATTACTTTCAGACCATCGTCACAACAGGCGTATTCCCCTTGCCCGTCCTCCATTTCGTTTTTTGTCTTCAACCCTTTAAGTCCTAAGAGTGATCAGCATCTAATTTCTCCTTTTAATATCAATGCTTTGTAAAACAGAGTGGTCATGAGAATTACGAACATGATCACACAACATGAATTTGCTTGATATTTTATCAACCTCTCCTCACTACTTCTGTAGGAAATGAATAGGGCCAACAAATGAGAATTCAAATTTTGATCTTCGGGGTTTAAAGGATAAAGTGCCCGATACCTTATTGGTCGCACTTTTTCTCTTCCTAATTCATGTAATCTTCCTTTGTAAACTCTCTGTGTTCAAAATCAAAGATGGAACTGAATTCTCGTCGACCAAAGAATAGGCCTGCACTGGATTGGTCTCCTTGAAATTCAGTTCCCGGGAAAGTTTGAAAGTTTCCGCCGAAGAGCTAAATTTGTCAGTTATTTTAATCAGGTTACATATGCACCAGTTGTTCCTCCGATTGTGCTCTTTCTGGCCAAGGATCCGTTAGTCGACAACTTTGACTTGTCTTCGGTTGAGGAAGTCTTATGCGCAGCTGCTCCAATGGGTGATGGTCTAGAGGACGCTCTTAGCAGACGATTGCCCAAAGTAAAAGAAATTAACCAAGGTATTATACAAATCGGAAACTACAAGATGTTATATTTGAATAATTACTATGCCAAGAACGTGGGACAAGGAAAAAATGCTTGAGAACTAGCCAGACAGGATTGGAATGACTAGTAAGGATTTGGGTCAGTATTAAGTTGGTTAACGGGCCTTTTTTAACAACTCGAGTAGTTTAAGGCCTGTGTCCAATGGGCTTACCTGTAGAAAATGATTTATTGACTATAACATAAACAAAGGGTATGGAACTGAATTATATTTGGCACGCACAATGTGCTTTTAAAACATTCTTTGGTATGAATATTTTGTTGGTAAGTCACGTGGCATGTCACGTAGCCTTAATATTACGTTTTGCAAAAGAAGACCTCAAGATTTATTTCTGGGGAAAATTCCGTCTTGTTCTAGGTATCCTAGCGAGAGTTATTGCCATTCAGTCATATTTTTCGCACACACTTTTCGTCCAGGCCTGAAACCCCTTGGGAAACCTTTACATATGGAAGTACATGATAGCCACACAGATGCTCAAACTTAGAGTCCACAGAGGAACTCGTTAAGTCCCGCTTTGTTCCTACAGAGTTGCTTGGTTCTCAGTATGTCTATGTTTTACTATGTGACGTTTCATTGTTAATTCCTATCACAGGTTATGGCATGACAGAAATGCTTGCTACTCATATGCAGCCCAGGGGAGGCACGAAACCCGGAAGTGTTGGTTTTCTTATGGCCAACTTGGAATGTAAGGTAAAAGTTTTCTATATGTATAAAAACTATTTTCCTTTCCAACCATGAAATTTAGAAATGTTTAAATAAGTACATACATATACATACAATCATATAACTTTATTTAAACTCGCATTTAGAATAGTTTGAGAGAGAGCTAGTATCTCCGAGTATAATAATATTTAAGAAATGCAACAAAATTGATAAAGTATGAAAGTATAAAATTGCTACGACTATTATTAGTTTCGTCTTACAAAAAAAATTACACAGTAATATTATGAATAGCGAGCTTAAAAGCAATGAGAGATTCAGAAGTTCTTATGTTATCCGGCAGCGTATTGCATACTTGAGGAGCAGCATATCTGAACGATTGTAATCCATAGGAGGTTGTAGTAACTCTTGATAGATCCAATTTTAGGGTACCTCTGAGGTTATACGCTGTTATTCGTTCTTTTAATGGTGATCTGAGCCTTGTTGGGGCAATTCCTTATATTAAAGAGTCTTGTATTCCCTTATCAAATTCCTCACGTAGTGAGGTAACGTTGATTCATCGCTGGATTTGCCACGCTACGATCTCTTTAGCCTACTGCGCCACAGGAGAAACATCTGGCTAAGTCGTCTTCGAAACAGCGTCGAAATCTTTGTTCTGGGTCCCCACCTGTGTACTGGGACTCGAGTTCGCGCAATGATTGGACCGTTGAAAAAGCCATTGTTGATTTTGCCAATCAGGTTGAAGAAAAATTCGAAACGCACTTCGAGTAATTCGTAGAGTCCGTCGGCGGTCCAGAGCAAGAATCTCGGCGCTTCTTCGCAGGCGTTACTTGCCATGGTTGTTCACAGCTGTCGATAATAAAAGCCACTCGATCTGCCTAAGCGTTCGATCGCTCGTGGACGACTTCCGTATGAAAAAGAAGGGAATGCTCTTCGCCTTGCGATGTAATGCAAATTCTGGTCTCACTTATGGAGTTTAGGATGGAAAGCTTGGCAATAGTTTTACCGGTATTGCTTTGGGTTGTGCGTAAAGAATTACAATCGAACCTCCTAAAGCGACCACCCAAAATGAAGAGATTTAGCAGTCACTCACGGGAGGTGGCCATGGACGAGATCGACCCGCAGATCGTCTTTCCGAGGAGAGTTTCGACCACATCTATTTTTTTTGCAGACAATGTACTGTATGAAATGTGTAACTGTTTTGTGCATACGTGTAGTTTCAGTTGTCATTAAAAGGTCTTCGTATACTCTTAGTGGAGTAGTACATACAGGGAACAAAGGAACCACACCATTAAGCCAAGTGGTCGCTTACGAGAGGAAGATGAAAACAATGGAAAACTATGAATAAACCGTCGTGCCAAAAAGTGGTCGTGGTCGATTGGTGGTTGCTGATGGGAGGTGGTCGCTTATGGGAGGTAGTCGAACATGGAGGCTAGACAGTATTTAAACAGTCATATGCCGTCGTGCCATGTTGAACACCGCATTTGATTTCAACATCTTTAGCACAATGATCGAACCGATGATGATGGCAGCAAAAAGTTTTAAATAGATGGTAATCTTAAATTACCGAACCTTATATATTTAATTCAGCACTTAAACTCGTTGTTATGTACTTCATTAAAAAGGGAAGTGTTCATATGTTCAATGCTTTACCAAATAGATTTTGGATGTATCAACTGGTGTTATTCTTGGTCCACATCAAGATGGAGAAATTTGTGTGAGGGGGCCAACAGTCATGAAAGGTACTACCTCCGCCCTTTTTTTAAAATGAGATAATGGAGATCTTGAATTACCATCCGCTGATAAAGGGCAATTGCTCGCGAAGATAGAATTGTAGTTGTATTTAACAATCTGCAAAGCTAGACCAGTAATAAACAATTATTGGAGGAAGTTTTTGTGACATCCGGAATAATAAACGTGGGGGTAAGTGTTACTCTTGGAAATTATGCATTGCGCGCGAAACCTACGGATAAGTCAGTCATCTGCTAGCAGACAAGGAACTTATCTGAAGAAGGTTGCGCTACTTTTCAATATTAACTGTAAGCTCTTAGTGAGTGAGAAGACGGATAGTGAGTACAATGTATAATAATTGTTAAATGTAAGTGAAAAACACTAACATACACGTAATGATCTCTTGGAATCGCTAAACTTTTATTCATGTATTGCATCTTTAGGTTATCTAAATAACCCGGAGGCCACAGCTCGATTAATAGATAGCGAGGGATGGGTACATACTGGAGACATTGGAAATTACGATGACGAAGGGCATTTCTTCATTGTGGACAGGCTGAAAGACGTTATTAAATATAACGCCTACCAGGTATAATTTTTTTGTATTTGTTTACGTGCGTGTTGTATTTCCTTGAGGAAAATTGAAAACTAGCTATGAAAATGAAGTTTTGAAAAAGGCTCATATTTTACTCGAAAAAGGTCTATAAGAAAGTTATTTGGGTTACTCCAGGCCCATAGTTCTTCTTATTGAATTCTTAACTTAAATTAGTCTTTGTTTAGTTTTTCGTTACTACATGTATTTTTAATGCATTATTGTCCGCGAATTTTCACTTTACTTATTTCTTTGTGACTGGGGAGCCCAGGCTTCATAAACCTTCTGGTTTCTTCTGGGCTCCCTTGCCAACTTACAATTCTTATATGTATTCTTGTATTGTAATTTATTTTGGCTAAATAAAACTGAACTAAACTGAAATGAACATGGTGCAGGATTCATAATACGTATTTTTTGAACTCCCAAAGATCAGTCGTTTATGCGTGCACGACCTCGTATAGAATCCTTATGTCCATCGCCTCGCGCATTTTAACCCAATAAATAATTGGGCAAAAAGTATTGTCTCCGTCTGTCAACACGAAGCGCGATTGGGTGTAGCAGGGGGTTAAAAGGTATGGTGAACGAGAAAACAAACAGCATTTTAGGTTTTCGTTCGTTCGCACCCTCCTTGCGCTCGTCGCTCGATCTCCTCGGCCGCTCGCCTATGGTCGCGTTCTTACCAGGGAGTGAGTTCTTTTATTTTTGTTTTTTTTCAAGAAAATCAAAAGACTCCGGACTGTCTGAATATTATGCAAGAACGTATTGTCTCCTGTCAAAAGGAAAAGCTAATGTTCAGCCTCATAATAGTTTAAATTTTATTCCTCTGCTTAGTGGCTGTCTTGTGTCAAGATATTTGAATTTCTTCTAGACCCAAAGTTTTGAAAATGTTTTTATCTATCATTTCCTCTTCTTCGCAGGTCGCTCCAGCCGAACTCGAGGCGTTGCTGATTTCTCATCCAAACATTGATGGTGCAGCAGTCATTGGTATCCCGGATGAAAAAGCTGGAGAGTTACCAAAAGCATTTGTTGTACCAAAGGGTGACATCAAACCAGAAGAAATACTAGCCTTTGTAGCTGCGAAAGTCGCACCACAAAAGAAACTCAGGGGTGGAGTGGAGATTGTTGAAAAGATTCCGAAAAACGCAAGTGGCAAGATTTTACGAAGAGATTTAAGAAAGAGAGAAAATGAAAGACTAAAAAATAAATACGCTCGTTGAAGACTAAAGCAGGCATGAAACAGTTTGTGCTGTTCAAATAACCACAACAACAACAATGAATAAAAATGATTATAATGCATTTCAAAAACTACATTTCAAAAGCTCAATAATAATTTACAAGTCGAAGACAAAGCAAATCCTTCATCGTGACTTGTTTGCCTCCTTATTTTGTCTATCAAGATAATTAATAAGTAGTTTCTTAGAAATCGATTTTGAGATAAATATTAGCGATAAAAAATCACGACGTTTCGACCTCTCCGAGGTCATTTTCAAGTGTATAAAAGTTCTCTAAATTAGCATAAATAAGTTAAAAACAAGTTATAATAGATAAAAATGTGGTGAACGCTAAAATGTGATAAAATATGTAAAAATGTAAAAAGTGCTAAAAATATTTATAAAGTCAAAAAACAATGGAAATAAAACAATGTTAACAAGAACTACTCTAAACAAATAATTTGGCGCGAATTGAATCGCACTGTTTGTTAAGCGTCGGTTTCAGTTCTTGGATAAAAAACATTTCAAAAATAAGACAGTCAAATTTGTTCTGACACTTTCTTAAGATTCTAAAACTTTGTGCGATGTCTTCAGGCTCCATATCATGCTGCTCTCTGAGGTGGTTTCCGATTGCCGATCCTTTGTGTTCTTCAATTCGTTGGTGTAGGTGTCGGCACGTGTAGCCGACATAGCCTGCATCACACAGGCTACACTGGAAAGAATACACCACGCATTGTTGACCAAACCAACGGACACGGGACTTCTGCTACACTACCACAGTCACGTTGACGCCAGATACAAACGGTCACCCCTGAACACCATGCTTAACCGTGCGTTTATAAATATTTTTAGCACTTTTTACATTTTTACATATTTTATCACATTTTAGCGTTCACCACATTTTTATCTATTATAACTTGTTTTTAACTTATTTATGCTAATTTAGAGAACTTTTATACACTTGAAAATGACCTCGGAGAGGTCGAAAAGTCGTGATTTTTTATCGCTAATATTTATCTCAAAATCAAGATAATTATTTGAATAAATATCAAAAGACTGAAAACAGCTGCTGGAGAATCTTTTGTGGCTCACAAAGCTCCAGTTCATGATGATGCGCAATTCAATTACGAGTTTTCCACTGAATTTTAGCAGTTTTTCCCCGTAGTTTAGTTTTCTAAAGACTGGGAAACCCTTGAGAACGTGATGCAGCCTTGATGGGTAAAACAAACCATACAAGCTAAAGAAGTCCCGGAGAAGTTTATTGACGGCGTGCATTTTAAACAAAGATTTATCATTTTCGGGTAAACAAGCTCAGAGTAGGGCGTGTAGCCCTTCGTTTAAGAGCGTCCATCGGGCACTAAATGGCAAACAAGTACACGTATAAAAAAGAAAGTTGAATAGACAGATGGGATGTGATACACAATTGTTATTTAATTTTTCTGTCGTTACAACATTTAAATCCACACTCTAGACCCCACGTTGTCGTTCAGTCCAAAACTGGGTGTTAGTATAGCCTGTTTAATTAATCCCTTCCTTGTATTGGATATGATATCTGAAAACAACCATTAAGGAGGCAGGAAAATTCAGTAACCCCATATAGCTGGGCAAAAAGAAAAAAGAAAAACATGCATGTGATGGAATTATACAAAATTTTCATATTTTAGAACTGTTTTCGTGGCCTAGTTTAAAGTTTCCTGTGTCGTGCGTTTCTAAAATACACTTTTCCTGACCCAAGCTGTATTCTATACAGATGAGGAGGGCAAATATTTATCTTTGGGAAATGTTTCGAATTGTGACGGAAGCGAAAAAGAGCAAGGAGCAGTGGACACATCGACGATGTTATTACCTTGTCTAAGATTAACATAAGCCAGTTTATTCTGTCTTACATCAAGGAAATAATAACAGGCAAGTAAAACATAGCATCATCTCTGTTTTCATTTATGTTTTGTTTATTTTACTTTGTTTTTTACTTACTTGTCAATGGCTCCCACTTTTCTGATCCCCTCACTTCTCCAGCCTATAACGATCTCTTTCTTGCCTACTTCTGTTAAAAAAGGCGAAAAAAATTCCTGGACATTCAGCAGTTGATGGGTCCGTTCTCTAATGAATGATAAGCATTAAATAACTTTAAGTTGTTTCTTTTTCTCTTTTGTAACCAGGCATTATTTACACAAGCAGACAAGTACGGAGGGCCAAATCATACAGTGTACTCGCGTGCTCCCTGACATTTGCGAGCGCTACCAACCTGGAGACTGGAAGTAGACAAATAAGGCAACAATGTCACTATTTATCACTTTAGTTATAACAGGATGGTTACCAAAACTTGAAAAAAAAGTAAAGAAAAGAATAAAAGCAGTTAAAAATGAAAAACATCTCGGTCGCGAAGTAGAAAGGAGCCATTTCCTCCTTCCCTCTCCCTGCATTTACGACCTGTCGCTTGTAGAATACAAGGTTCCCGCCACAATTGGTCCAGTTGTGTTTAGAAAGCCATTGTGATTCACTATCCAAAAACACCAGCACCAGATCCGTGGAAAGGAGGACTGAAAAATAGAAACTTGTTGTTTATAGTAAACAAAAAAAACACAACATGAAAAAGCAATCTGCTCATATTCTTTTCTGGCTATAAAATGAGACGAA